TTTTTGTATTCCAGTTTTAGAAAAGTGTTCAAAATTCAGAACTTCTAATAGTTTCAGTTTTTACGGAGGAATTGTTAGCAATCTCATTTAACTTACTTTGGATAGAACGAAAAATAAAGTGTGTTGTGTATGTACGGATTTTCTTTCGGCTCTAATGTCAATTGTCATTGTCAACTGATAGACCAGATATTCTTTTAGAAGTATTTGAATGTTTATTTAAATTGAATAAATTAGAAATAGAAATTACATTTCTGTGGGTTCCAGCACACAGAGGGGTTGAGGGAAATGAAACAGCAGATTTTTATGCAAAACAAGCAACAAAACTAAACATACGGGTAGAAATTCCATATACAGGTGCTGGCCAGTAAATTAGAATATCATCAAAAGGTTGAAAATATTTCAGTAATTCCATTCAAAACGTGAAACTTGTACATTATATTCATGCAATGCACACAGACCAATGTATTTCCAATGTTTATTACGTTTAATTTTGATATTTATAGGTGACAACCAATGAAAACATCAAATCTGGTATCTCAGAAAATTAGAATATTCTAAAGGCCAATGAAAAAATGTTTGTTTCTCTAATGTTGGCCAACTGAAAAGAATGAACATGAAAAGAATGTGCATGTATAGCACTCAATACTTAGTCGGGGCTCCTTTTGCCTCAATAACTACAGTAATGCGGCGTGGCATGGACTCGATCAGTCTGTGGCACTGCTCAGGTGTTATGAGAGCCCAGGTTGCTCTGATAGTCGTCTTCAGCTCCTCTGCATTGTTGGGTCTAGCGTATTGCATCCTCCGCTTCACAATACCCCATAGATTTTCTATGGGGTTAAGGTCAGGCGAGTTTGCTGGCCAATCAAGGACAGGGATACCATGGTCCTTGAACCAGGTGCTGGTGGTTTTGGCACTGTGTGCAGGTGCCAAGTCCTGTTGAAAGGTGAAGTCTGCATCCCCATAAAGTTGGTCAGCAGCAGGAAGCATGAAGTGCTCTAAAACTTCCTGGTAGACGGCTGCATTGACCCTGGACCTCAGGAAACAGAGTGGGCCAACACCGGCAGATGACATGGCACCCCACACCATCACTGACGGTGGAAACTTTACACTGGACCTCATGCAACGTGGATTCTGTGCTTCTCCGCTCTTCCTCCAGACTCTGGGTCCTTGATTTCCAAAGGAAATGCAGAACTTGCTTTCATCAGAAAACATAACTTTGGACCACTCAGCATCAGTCCAGTCCTTTTTGTCCTTGGCCCAGGCGAGACGCTTCTTGCGCTGTTTCTTGTTCAAGAGTGGCTTGACACACGGAATGCGACACCTGAATCCCATGTCTTTCATGAGTCTCCTCGTGGTGGTTCTTGAAGCGCTGACTCCAGCTGCAGTCCACTCTTTGTGGATCTCCCCCACATTTTTGAATGGGTTTGTCGTCACAATTCTCTGCAGGGTGCGGTTATCCCTAGAGCTTGTACACTTTTTTCTACCACATTTTTTCCGTCCCTTCGCCTGTCTGTTAATGTGCTTGGACACAGAGCTCTGCGAACAGCCAGCTTCTTTAGCAATCACCTTTTGTGTCTTGCCCTCCTTGTGCAAGGTGTCAATGATTGTCTTTTGGACAGCTGTTAAGTCAGAAGTCTTCCCCATGATTGTGGTGCCTTCAAAACAAGACTGAGGGACCTTTTAAAGGCCTTTGCAGGTGTTTTGAGTAAATCAGCTGATTAGAGTGGCAGCAGGTGTCTTCTATATTCAGCCTTTTCAGAATATTCTAATTTTTTGAGATACCAAATTTGGAGTTTTCATTAGTTGTCACTTATGAATATCAAATTTAAATGTAATGAACATTGGAAATACATTGGTCTGTGTGCATTGCATGAATATAATGTACAAGTTTCACGTTTTGAATGGAATTACTGAAATATTTTCAACCTTTTGATGATATTCTAATTTACTGGCCAGCACCTGTAGTGTCAAAGAAGTGAAGGCGATGATCAGGAAACACGCTGAATGAATGACAGGGAATGTGGGTAAGGGGAGAAAATGGAAGGCATTGTCTTGACATAAAAAATTGGATGACTCTAAACTTTTTGCTTTTAAATCAAGACAAGATGAAAGTTCTCATCTTTGGACCAGAAATCCAGAAAAGGAAATTGCTTAGCCAATCGCCTGACCTGAATGGCATTACATTAATCTCCGAGAACAAAGTAAGGAACCTTGGTGTTATCTTTGACCAGGACATGTCATTCAAATCCCAGGTTAAACAGGTTTGTAGGATTTCCTTTTTCCACCTGCAGAATATTGCTAAGATTAGAAGCATCCTTTCCAGGAGTGATGCTGAAAAACTAGTTCATGCATTTATTACATCAAGACTGGATTACTGTAATTCATTACTCTCAGGAAGTCCACAGAATGTAGTTAAAAGTCTTCAGCTTGTCCAAAATGCTGCAGCTAGAGTTCTGATGAGAATTAAAAAGAGAGATCATATCTCTCCTGTCTTGGCTTCCCTACATTGGCTACCTGTTAAATTCAGAATAGATTTTAAGATCCTTCTTCTCACATATAAAGCTCTTAATAATCAAGCTCCATCATACATCAGTGATCTGATTGTTCCATACGTTCCTAACCGAGCACGTCGCTCTCAGACTGCAGGTCTACTGGTGGTTCCCAGAATATCTAAAATTAGGATGGGAGGCAGATCCTTTAGTTATCAGGCTCCTCTCCTGTGGAACCAGCTCCCAGCTTTAGTCCGTGAGGCAGACACTTTGTCTACTTTTAAGAATAGGCTTAAAGCATTTTTATTTGATAGGGCCTATAGTTAAAATCTGATGTTAGCCTAAATCTGAACAAGTGGGGGAGAACAGGGAGGTGGAGTATACAGTCGGTAAAGACGGCTCTCCCTTGCCCTGCCTCCAACATGCCTCCATCTAAATAGGATAGATTATCCAGGGTTAACTCTGTAGTTAGGGTTAACTCTGTAGTTATGCTGCTATAGGCTTAGACTGCTGGAGGACACACTGACCACTTTTCACACTCTACTGCTTTCTTCTACAGTCTGCTCTTTAACTGTATTATTTTCTGCTATTTCAGCTGTTAACTTTATTCTCTCTCTAAGTGTTTTTCTCCCCAGAAGAAGCTACAACAATGTTCTGCTGAGCTGTGGTGGCCTCATGGAGGGGGCCATCGTCTAGCACACTGCTGCTAACCACTTAAACATTCTCCCTCTCCTGATAACTTTTTGCCTTCATTGACGTTGGATGTGCTAATACTAGTTTATCCGTTTAATTATAGATCCACTAGGATAAATACAATAAAGTTGATTTCACCAAATAGAATATTTACTAAGACATCACAATATAACTATAGACACATTACTTGTCTTTGTGTGTGTGTGTGCGTTTGTGCGTGCGTGTGCGTGTGCATGTGTGCGTGTGCGTGTGCGTTTGTGCGTGCGTGTGCGCGTGCGTGCATGTGCGTGTGTGTGTGTGCGTGTGCGTGTGCATGTGCGTGCGTGTGTCTGCTCTGTCTTCTCGATCCCCAGTGAGTCGTGGAGGATGGCTGCTTATACTGAGCCAGGATTCTCTGGAGGTTTCTTCCTGTTAAAAGGGAGTTTTCCTCTCCACTGTCGCTGCATGCTTGCTTAGTATGAGGACTGCTGTAAAGTCACTGACACTCGTCAGTGACTTGATGCAATTTGCTGGGTTCCTTATATAGGAAACATTATTTCTGATTGGCTTAATGAACTGTGAATTGGAATGTTTATTATGTGAAGTGCCTTGAGGCGACTCTTGTCGTGATTTGGCGCTTTATAAATAAACTTGAATTGAATTGAATTAATTTACAGGGAAAGGAAGGTATGATGAAAATTATGGAAATTTATAATAGGGAACGAACAATAATATCAAGGTTAAGGATGGGACACAAGTTTAACTAGCACTCTTCATTTAATAGGGAAACATCCTACGGGTTTATGTGGCAAAGGGGGAAACTGTAGAGCATGTTTGGTGTATAGAAAAATGTTAAGAAATTAAAAGTAAGAGGATATGGAGAATTGAGTTTAAGAACTTTGTTAAATGGGGATAACAGAATTTATAGCTTAGTGTTGGAATTCCTTTGGAAAAGTAGTTTAGTTAAAAGAATATAGTTTTTTGTTTTTGTTTTTTTAGTATTGCTCACTCTGACTCACACTCCTACACAGGTGGCAGAAATGCACCTTAAGTTGGATGCCACCCACCATTTAAATAATGAGAAGAAGGAGATGATGCAAAGAAGGATTCTCCAGAGAATCAAGAACATGATGGACAACCCTGAGCATTCTCTTCACAAGACTGTCCGACAACGGAAGAGTGTCTTCAGTCAGAGGCTTCTTCAGTTTGGCTGCAACACTGACCGCTACTGGAGATCCTTCCTGCCAACAGCCATTGTAATATACAATAACTCTTTGATGACTTTATTATTATTATTCTGAGCTACTACAGCAATCAATTTCCCTCTGGGATTAATAAAGTATTTTTGAATTGAACAAAAGAAGAATGGCCTTTTCATTTTCAGTGTGTGTGTAGACTATAAAGATGTGGAAAACTCCATTAATATTTTGTGGTTTAGCTCAGAATTAAATTAATAATGATTTAGAAAAAATTAATAAACTTAACAAAAAAATTACATCATTTAAATCATTTTAATTAAGTTTTTTAAAGTCCTGATTTAAGAAAAAAAATGAGTGAAGGTGGCGGTCTGAAGTCTTTCTAAACCCTGAGCATGTTCATTAACACCTCACAATAGATGATTCTTATGAGTTTTTACTGCAAAAATCTTGTGTTCATTTTGAAGCAAATGTCTGAAAGTTAATAAAAAAATTATTTTTATTTCTCTTTTTTTTAAATGTAACTTTTAATTCGTAGTTTAAACTAAGACTTTTTAAATCTAGCATTAATGTAAAAAATAAATAAATAAATAAATAAAGATTGGCTTGATCAGAATCGCCAGAGAGCAGAGCTAGACTGGACCTTGGTGAGAGGTGGTGTGGTGAGAGCCCGTAGTTGGCCGCTGCTCCACCAGATGGCGTAGTATCCGTTAGATGGACTCATGTCGAACAGACCCTTCCTCTGAGCAGACTCTGTGACCACACCCAGTTTCCAGTCCTTGTTGTCCCCAACAAACACCTGCAAGACAGAGAGCAGGGTCAAACTGCTGTTTCTAAACAGATTTGGGTTCATCTGGTCCTGGTTCTGACCTCCCAGTAGTGCCGTCCAGAGGTAAAGCCCTCTTTAGCGATGACACAGGACCAGACGTCGAACCTCTGGTTGCTGGTCTTGAAGAACTGCAGCTTCTCTCCTCTCTTGACCTGCTTCCGGTCCTGGGACAGAATCAGAAACGGGTACGCCGTCACGGGGTTCAGCGTGATGTCGTCTAAAACAAAACCACACGTGGAGATGCTGGTTGGACTCAGGAATCAGAAACAATCATTCCAGGATGATTAGATCAGTGAGACCAGATCTGGTACAGTTAGTAGGTCTCAGAACTTTCCAGAACTACAACCAGAAGATTAGCTCACCTATGTAGACCCGCGCTTTTTTGTATCCTGAAACAGAACAAGCAGACTGATCAGAACCAAACCAACAAGCCTCCAGCAGCAGCAGCAACACTTTCTTAGGATCACTGACACGATTTTTTTCATCAAACCTAAAATCTGAAAAAAGGAGCTAAAGGTCACACCAGTCAAAGTCCAGACCAGCTGTTTATCATCATCATCATCATCATCAGGTGTGTTTGTTTATCACTTTAGTGTGTTGACAGCAGAAACTGATCAAGGAGACTAAAACCCGAGACCAGACTGTGTGATGGTACACACCTGTGACCAGTTTTGTCTTCTTCATATCTGAGAAAAAAGTAGGACAGCACAATTAGAATTTCAGAATAAAAGCATGTTGTATTTTATTAGCAACACGTTTAGGTCCGTATGGATGGGACTTCTGGATGGGACTTCAGGATGCTTGTTTAGGACCAGCTGGTCCAAGAAGACTAAGCAAGTCATCATGACATTGTGAAGTTAAACTGGTGGGGGAAAGTTTCTGTGGTTTTAAACCAGCTGGATGGATCAAGAGTGATTTAACCCAAAACGGCCATCGTTTTAATAATTAGATTATCCGTCCTCATTAGGACAAGTGGACTGAATTCATCTTCCAGAAATCAAAAGATACGATGCAGTAGCGAAGGTTCTGCTGTTGCAGAACAAAAGTAGGTGGAGTAAACCCAAGTACAAAGTAAACCCCGCCTCCTGAACTAAGACCAGTAGGTTAGCCTGGTTAACCTGTCAGAATGGGTCAAATTTGTAAGTGTAGAGATGAATACCAGGCTGATGGACAGTTCTGATGGTCGGTCAGCTCCAGACCTGATCCTGATGTTTACTGTGAGCAGAATATCAGATCCAGGTTCAGCTGCTCACCTCGCAGAGACAACTGGCTCATCCTCAGACTGGCCTTGCTTCCTCTCAGACTGAGCATGCTCTCTGCTGCCATCAGATCTGTGGGGGAAACTGAAACAAAGGCCACAGACGATTAACCAAACGCACACCTGGAAACACACCTCTGAGCAGAATGACTCACGGGCATCTCTGGAACCTCTGGAACCTCTGGAACCTCTGGAGGCCCTGGGACGAGGCTCCCCCACCAGGATCTCGTCCATCTTATCCTTCACTTCTAACAGAGCGCTCTTCAAATTGTCCAGCTGAAAGTGGAGTGAAAAATCTGAGACGTCGTCATCCACGTCATCCTGCTGCTTCACGTCCAGGGGAGCCGTGGCATCCTCAAAGCTCTAAGAAGGAGAATAGGACGACATTTTCTCTTCTGTTCATCTTTTAACTTTCTGACCCAGAACATCAGATGTTCAATTCTCACCTGCAGGAAGCTGATGTGATCCTGACTGATGGCCTGGATCTCCAGTGTGGCCCTTTTCTCCATCAACTGGCTAAGCTCCTTCTCCAGGTGGTGCACCCGCCCCTCCCCCTTTGACCTCACAGCTTCCAGTTGGTTCTCAATCCCACCAACCACATGAGCCCGGATTCTGTCCAGGGAAGCTGAGGCTTCATTCAGAAGCAGTTCAACTTCACTGCGTTCCTTGTCTGCGTAGTTCTGAGAGCAGATCAGGTAAAAAGGCATTTTAACCAATTTGTACATTGAAGAACCTATCCAAATCCTAATCCAGTACTATTTAATCTCTAGATCCAGTCCAGAACTTCTGATCCAGGCCTCACCTCTTCCTACATTCCCTTCTAGTGGCCATACTTCCCTATCCTTTAGATCCGATCTGTCCCCAGTTACTGGAGGTGTGCCCCAGGGCTCTGTTCTGGGGCCCCTTCTCTTCATTATTTACCTTCTACCGCTTGGTCACATTATCTGGAAATTTAACATTCAGTTCCATTGCTTTGCAGATGACACCCAGCTCTATTTATCTTCCAAACCCAATTCCCAGCCCCTCCCTCTTCCCTTTCCTCCTGTCTAACTGAAATTAAATCATAGTTCTCCACTAACCTCCTCAAACTCAACAGTAATAAGACAGAAATCTTAATTGTTGGTACAAAATCCATCTTATCCAAAGCCGACAATTTTCCTATCAGTACTGATTCCTCTACTACCCACCCCTCCCATCAGGTTAAGAGCCTGGGTGTCATTCTGGATAGCACTCTGTCATTCAAATCTCATATCAGTAACGTCACTCGGTCAGCTTACTTTCACCTTCGTAATATTAATCACCTTCGCCCTGCTCTCACTCCCCAATCAGCTTCTGTGCTCATCCACAGTTTAGTCACTTCCTGAATAGATCACTGTAATTCACTTCTGGTTGGACTACCTCAAAAAAACCTCAATAAGCTCCAGTTAGTGCAGAACTCTGCTGCACGAGTCATCACCTGCACTCCCCTGTTTCACCACATCAGTCCGGTCCTTCAGAAACTCTGTTGGCTCCCAGTTAAACATGGATCGAGTTCAAAGTCCATCTTCTCACTTTCAAAGCTGTTCACAATCGTTGTCCTCCATATCTATCTGATCTCACTCACCTTGCGTCTCCAGTCTGGTCCCTCAGATCATCATCCTCCATCCACCATACTGTCCCTTGTCTCACTTCCATGGGTCTCGGATCCTTCAGTTGCTCTGCTACCTGCCTCTGGAGTTCTCATCCACAAGTCATCTGGAACTCTGACTCCTTTTCCACCTTCAAATCCGAACTAAAAACTCACCTTTTCCAGACCGCAGCTTCTCTAGGAGATAGTTCTGCTGCTCGTTTCTGATGTTTGTTTTGCTTGACTGGGTTTTTATGAGTGATTTGTTGCTTTTAGCTCGACTTTTATCATTCCTGTACAGTGACCTTGAGTTCCATGAAATGTGCTTTTAAATAAAATGTATTATTATTATTAATATTTATTAATAATAATAATAGTAGTGCATTTTCATATTCATCCAGCACTAATGCATTTAAATCTAATTAACTTAAGCTATATTTAGGCTATTGCTTTCCATGCTGGTACAGAGTAACATGAGCATCAGTATTTAATAGGATGAAAGGATGAAGTTTAGATGATAACATAGACCAAGTGCAAAATATAAAACATAAGCCACTTTTCAGATTTCCACTTTGCATGAAAGAAACCCAGAATCAAAGAGGGAAAATAATTAAAACTGTTGATTGTTCAATAACCCTGATCAGACCTGGTCTAGAGCTGATCAATAGTTCTGATTGGGAAATGGCTGCTGGTCCTGGTGCGTGAGGAATGTAAACATATAAGTTGACTTGTCAATACTAATGTGATCCCACTGATGCAACCAAGTTTCTGAATGACTAAATAAATCACAACTCACACACCGTCAGCCAAAACAGGCCTGGAGTTAGACTAGACCACATGGAGTATTCAGGTGGTTTTGTTTGGGATGCATCCGTTTTCAGGCTCGTTTATTGACATAGATCTAGATTAGTCTGTAGACATGTAGGCACCATCTGAGAGGGGGTCTGGGAAGCGTGTAGGCTACAACTTCTGTCGTGAACCTTCTTCAGCGAGAGCTGAAGGTCATTGCTTTTGCAGGACCTACCCTAGAGGAGTCCAACCTTCAAAGGGAACAGGTCCAGTTTACTGCTGGCTGCATGGACCAGACTCACACTTGGCATGGAGAATGAATGGCCATTGACCCCACACCCCCTAAGGGCCCCTCAAAGCAATGATGCAAAGGCCTGTCCGCTTAGCTCGTTCTACATCATCCATCATCTTTAGAAAGCCGGAAAGGATCTCCTAGGCTTCCCCACTAGAATCCACGTGTGAGGAATGGAGAAGCTTGCCAAAGCATTTGTTCCATCACCTGACTGTATTGACAGTTGATGCCAGAAGCTTCCAGTTCCCACTGCGAACTCGAGCGAGTTTCAATCTCCTCCTCCGAAGCAGAAGCCCAAAAACACTCTCTCAGAAGTTCAGTCAGGAGAACCACTGACCCACTCCACTATAACGGATCACAGGGAAAGGCTGGCTACTGAGAAGATGGAAAGAGACGAGGCCTGGATCACAAGTTTGAGATGGGACTATGTAGAAAAAGTCAAAAGTGACATTTCTGATGCATTCAGCGTTTTCATGAAGTGCATCTACAGATAGGATCAGGATCAGAAATGGATTCAAGGTTTTATCCTAAACATGTCAGACCTGAACACCCTCCAGATTCCTCTTCAGGTTGCTCACACGGATCTCCTTCTCCTTGACACAATTTACAATTTCTTGCTCCGTCCTGGCCACCAGTTTCTGAACACCAACAGGAGAAAATGAGTGAAGATTTGGACTTTTGGCAGACGGGATCCAATTCTGTCCTCTACCTGTTTCCAGAGTCTCTCAGTCTGCACAGAGACGGTTTTGTGAGTCCGGTGTTCCTCCAGAACACAGATGGCGCAGATGCAGCGCTCACAGGTCTTACAGTAAACCTAAAGACAAACACAGCGGTCGGTCAGTGTTGGTGAGAAGTTCTGATGTTCATCCAGAGAGACTCTAAAATCTAAATACTGATACATGGGTTGCCGGTTCGAACCCAGGCTCTGTCCAGGTCAGTTATGTCCTTGGGCAAGACCCTTCAACATGCATGTCTGCGGGTGGTGGTCAGAGGGTACCAATGGTGTGGCATCTTATTTCTGTCAGTGCGCCCGAGGGCAGCTGTGGCTACAGAGTAGCTCATCATCACCACCTGTGTGTGTGTGTGTGTGTGTGTGTGTGTGTGTGTGTGTGTGTATGTAAAGTGCTTTGGGGTCTGATTTAGCAGTATAAAGCGAGTTCTATGATTAGTTTTAAGACGAGCTCTTGCCTCAAGCAGCCGTCGATGTGAAGAGCAGGTCCGGCCCCTGAGGGCCTCCTGGGGGTCCATCAGTGGGTGTTTGGAGTAGAAGGGCGTGGTGTGATGAGGCTGGACATGTTCAGAGCAGTAGGAGGCGGTGCAGGTGAGGCAGGAGCTGACAGCTGGCTGTTTGATACCTGTGCAGACATCACACCACACCACGTCCTCAGCAGCTGCTGGGGCTGGAGGGGGCGACCAGAACGGGTTGGTGCTCTGTTCATCTTCCATGGCGTCTAGTAACCCGTTTTTCATAGGTGCTGAGAATCCTGTGGCTCCATAACGGGTCTGTTTGTACTTATCAGAGATGAGAGCGAAAACTTTGTTGATGCTGAGATAAGGACGCTCGTCAAACTGGCGCTTACATAGGGGACAGGTGGAGACCGGACTGGAGGCCCAGTACCCACCAATACACGCCTGGAAAGACCCAACAGAACCTTTACTCACACCAAACCACTCCAGAGAACAGCTGATCCAGTGTACGGTGTCTTGAGCTCACCTGGCAGAAGTTGTGTCCACAGGGAGTAGAGACCGGGTCAGTGAACAGGTCCAGGCAGATGGAACAGGTCAACTCCTGCTCAGAGAAAATTTCGTTGGCCATTCCGTCCGCCATCATCGTTCAGCTGCAGGTGGACAGAACAAAAGCGTTACCGAGCTAAACATGAACCCAGACCGTTTCTAGGTCCGGAAAAACACCAGACATCAGCTCTGATGGGCCAAAAAACTCAGAATCACCCAGGACCGGTCTGGCTGAAACACACTCAGACCCTCAGTGTTGTCATCAGATCCTGCCGGGGTTCTCAGGTGTTCTCTCACATAAAGAACAACTTTCCTCTGGGGTTACCCCAACAGCCTCACCTGGTCACCTAAAGTGGTGTATGCTGGTCTGAGTCAGAACTTCTACATAGAACCAGACCTGAAGCTGTCCAGACCAGAACACAGTGCTGAGAGGTGAAGCAGAACCCATGTCAGGTTTCACACCTGTTCACTCACCTGTTCAGACGGATACCTGCCAGGTAACCATCTGACCTGATTCTAAAGTCACCTGCACCACCTGATAAAGGAGGACTGGATCGGACCACATTCCACTGTTAAGCCAGGTAACTGACACAGGACGGGAGAAGCTCTGCGCACCTGTACTGAGCAGGTAGAAAGGGGGCGGGGTCAGAACAGGAATGAGCTCTGCAGGTGTCAGACAGGTAAATCCTCCTGCAACTAATTTTGCCCCAAAGCAGAAGGACTAGAAAAACCAGAACCTGAAGGTCCGATGAACTCAACTCGAATAAAAACAGGAATTCTGAAGGTCCACCTGAACGCTGAAGCAGATCCTCTGAGTCTCCATCGAGAAGCCTCACTGACCCGATTGCTACAATCAGAACCGACCCACAGGGGAGTCTTTTCTTTCCTTCTGAGGACATCTTCTTGATCTTTGAATCATCTGGAGCTCAAAGGGACTTTGTGAGAAAACACTGAAGCAGAATATTCTGGTTCCACCGGCCCAAACACTGAGCTTTGAACCTGCCTGGTCTCCAACTCTCTGCAGTGTCCAACATCTGGATCGAGTCTGTTTATCCCAACTGTTTTAGTTTACTTTAGGTTCCTTCTCAGATGTTCTGGACAGTCTGAACTTCTGTAGCACCAGTTCTGGAGATTAAGAACCAATAAGACTGGGTCTGATCCAATCAGACCCAATTGGGTTTATGTGTTCTGACAGACGGATGGCCATCCAGAACCTTTTGGTGCTGAGCAACAGTTCAAACCCTTCAAAAAATTTCCGTTCAGCTGAAGACAACCGGAGACTCGCGGAGGTTCCACCTGATCTGATCCCACAGAAAGGGCTCAGGTGGTGCAGCTCGGCCTCCTGGATGGACTACAGCAAATATCCCTTTACCATAACTGGTCATGTGAACAGGCTTTGGTAGTCCTGGGTTCTGATCGGAGATCAGTTCTTCTCCAACCTTTGTGATCCAGACCAACATTTGTTAACTCGGCTGGTTGCTGAAGCAGTGCGACGCCAACTCCTGGTTCAGTTCTGCTTCTCTCAGCAAATGCAGGTAACTTCTAAACTGTTTAGTTTATGATGAAGCTCACGCTGCTTTTGACCTTCAACGGTCGGTCCACCAGTCCTGGTCCAGTCCACAACAACTGATGCAGACTTTCAGAACATATGAAAGCGGTTTTTTTGGACAGATTCTTGGCCCAGTTTGACCTCTGGCATCGGAATGTTGAGGATGATTGTTAATTCTTGACCTCACCCATTCGGAGTCTGGAGAACCCTTCAACGGGTTACAGAAAGGTCTGGGTCCTAGAAGGATGGAGACTCAAGAGTTCTGAACAGACTCCTATATTTGACATTGGAAAAAAGCTTAAATTTTCCCAGAATTCCTCACTGCTGCAGCTGAAATCTCCTCCTGACTCAAATATTTTCCATGTTAAACTCTGGGCTCAGCCGGGCCTTTCTCAGGTGCATCAAGTCAGCTGTGATTGGACTCATAAAGCAGAACTGTTCTTTACATTAGAGCCACCCGTAATCCAGAACCAGAACCCTCTCCGGTCCAGCAGATCCAGACTCACCTGAGCTCAGCTTGCCCTGGAAACTTCTTTAACTGATTTAGTGAAGCCACCAGACTCTTCAGACACACAGCTGATTCCATTTATGAGAATATTTAAATGTTTTTGTTTTACTATTTAAAACGTTTTGTTTCCAGATAAAAGACAAAACTCACCTGAGGTTAAACTAGAGCCAAGAAATGGAATAAAAGCTGCCGTCTCTTACCTGCTGCTTCTCATTCCACTCGTTTATGTCAGCAACCCTGAAAGTCAGGTCTGTGACATCATCGGTGGGCGGAGCAAACAGGTGACGAAGGTGGCCAGGTGAGGCCATGGGCGGAGCTTTAGCTATTATTTATATTTCTAAGGTGTGACGCGCTCTGCAAAAAGTTCAGAATCAGAAATCTTTATTTGTCCCAGAGGGAAACCAGAGTTTCAACCTAAAACTAAAAATCTGAGTAGTTTTTATTTTTATGTGATAAAATTTGGGTTTCATACACTTTATATTCTGTTTGGATCAAAAACTTTTCAAGACAAAAAATGTAACATTTAGATTATGAAAAACAAACTAATAATTAAGAAGGATAAACATAAAAAGATAAAATACAAAAACCGACTAAAATAAAACAATTAAAAACCGAGAAATGAAGGCAGAGACCTGTAACCTTTGACCCTGAGAAGCTGCCTTGCTTGAAGGCAGCGGCGTGATGCAGAGCTGCAGGTTTGGGAGTGACGGATTCCAGACAGTTGGACTAGACCAACAACATTCCTGCAGCCTGGATCTGCGAGGACGCTCGGAGTCGGATCAGAACACAAGGACCAAACTCCCGATCTGGACTAAAACCAGGACCCAGTCCTGAGCTCACATGAGCCGGTGGAAAAAAGATCCTGAAAAGTTCTGATCCCATTTGGAGTTCTGGAAATGTATTAAAAGAACTGTATAAATGACCCGAGTCCAACAGAACCAGAAGAACCGGGTAAAACAGTTGTTGGTGTAAACAAGTTCGGTTTACATTTTATTACAAATGTCAACAGAAACAAATGAGTGAATCCAGGTCATGTGACCGACGTCAGACATCTGGACCAGGAGCTGAACTCAGCCCAGAATCTGCTGGTTTGATTCAGTTCTGATCCAAACAATCCAGATGTAAAACATGAGAACTGTCTCAGTTCAGAGACTGAAACTTCAGCAGCTGAGGTTGTTTTAAGGTTCTGATTCACCAGACCGGATCGCCCCAACCAGAAAACAGAGCACTCCTCCGTTAGAGGAGTGTGCTGGTTCTGAAGGAATCATCCGGGTCCAGATGGAGGTCTTTTATAGTCACATTAAAAACAAACAGCACAACATTTTGGATCCACTGAGTTCTGCTCAGAATTTAGTGGTTCAGTGGGTCCAGTCCAGTCCTATCAGAACACATGGGGTTGGTCTCTTCAGAAGTCTTTATAATGCAGCAACCTGAACCAAACAAAAACAAAGTCCAGTTAGGTTCTGCACACACACACGCAGCCTCAGAGCCCGATTGGTTGTCTGACCTAAAGAGGGGGGCGTGGCCCTTGTTGTTAGCCAGGGAGAAGAAGCCGCTGTGCGGTGAGAAGTCCAGGCAGCTGGTTCGGTAGACCACCTTCCTCTTGGCAACAGGGAAGTTGGAGAACACGGTAAGACTGGACAGGTGAACCTGAGGAGACGGGTGAGAGGGTCAAAGGTCACCATCTTCATGATAATCTTCACCTTCAGCAGTAGCTCACCAGCCGCATGGCCTCATCTTCAACTCGAGAAGCAATAGCAAGGATCTCAGAGGAGGGGTTAAAGGTCAGCGATGTGGCTGACGTCAGCAGATTCATCACCGCCTTCAGAGGCTTCGGATTGGCCGAGTTTAGACACGCCTCCTGGGAGTAGATGTTGACCACTCCAGACTGAGAGCTTAAACAGATAACATGACAAGAGCAGCTAAGCAGCCGAGAGGGTTGAAAACTCCGCCAATCAAACAGCAGGGTGGTAAGTGGGCGTGGCTTACCCACAGGCCAGGTATCGCCCATTACGTGAGGTGGCGATCGACGTCCCCCTCACACAGCCGTCGTCTGAAAACCTGTTGATGCATTGACTGTTTCGCACATCCCAAACACACACCTCCCCCTCCTCTACAAATACACAAACACACACACATCACATGACTCTCAGGAACAGGAAGTGACATCACAAGTTCTGTGGCGGTTCAGACTCACCAGAGTTCACAAAGAGTTTTCTGCCATCGTGAGAGAAGGCAACGCCACTGACATCACCATTTATCTTTAAACTCCTGATGACCTCGTTGGTCTGAACACACACACACACACGCACACACACACATACACACACACATACACACACGCACACACACACGCATGCACGCACGCATGCACACACACGCACGCACGCACACACACACACACACACACGCACGCACACACACGCATGCACACACACACACACACGCACGCACACACACACGCACACACACACACGCACACACACACACACACACACACACGCACACACACGCACGCACGCACGCACGCACACACACACACACCCCGTGCAATTAATGAAAATTAAACAACAGCAGATTTAAACTCGAGTGTCAGCCTGAAACAGCAGAGGAAGAGCAGACCCACCTTGAGGGTGAGCAGGTGGAGGTACCCGTTGGTTCCGGTCAGCAGCAGCTCACCCCCATCAGGACACACGCAGAACTCCTTCACCCTGGCTTCATTTAAGCCTGAACACAACACCAAGAGGCTTTTATTGTGAAGCAGGCAGATGTTTGCAAATGTCTGGATGACATCGGGGATGAGACTGACCCCGTATGGAATGGACCGGCACCACCCTGCCATCCATCATGTCGTACAGGTAGAACATCTTGTTCTTCAGGCTAGTGGCGATCACCGTCTCTCCATCCAGACTGAACTGGGCCTTGTGGATAGGGAACCGCTCCAGGTGGATGCTCTGGATTTTTGGGTTTGTCTTTCCATCGACCTGAAGAGGAACCATGGTAAAGTCACATGACCAGAACCTCACACATAGGGCTGCTCAATTAATCGAATTTTAATCACGATTACGATCTGAGTTTTGAACGATTATAAAAAACAAAACAAGCCGATTATTTGCTCCTCCCGCTTGCGCTGCCCTGAGTTGCAAATGAAGCGCTCCTCCACAGTGTTGCCAACTTGGCGACTTTGACGCTATTTCCAACAGCTTCTCAGACCCCCTTCTTGACTTTTTAAATCTTAAAAGTACCTAGCGAACACCTCAGAAACATCTCTGGTAACCCTTAGCTACTTGAGTGACACACACCGTACCTGCGGACTCCTGAGCCACTAAAAACGGCTAAATGTGCGGCGTGCTAAATACACGTGCAGCTTGCCCCTGATTGCTGTGAGACCGGGTTGGGGGGTGGGGGGTGCAGCTGTGGTTGGGACAATTATTACATTAACTGATGGACTTGTAAATAAATAGTTTATAAATAAGGTAGAAATAAGTTCCTCACGCTGATAACTAATAACTAATCTCTCTGAGGACACGTGCTAGTGCACGCTCCTACAGCACCTTGACACGACTAAATAAATGTTATGCAACATTTTGTGAACATCAATTTATTTGCATTTATTTCAATCAATCAATCAATCAATCAAATTTTATTTCTAAAGCGCTTTTCAAACAAAGTGTGATTCAAAGTGCTTTACAAAATGACCCCAGATTCCCATAACAGGTTAAAAACATTAACAAACATATGCAAGCACACGCACACACACACATTTGTTATAAATGCTACTGTATAATTCTTGCTGTCAGTATTTGCAAGATATTGGTATTTGGGTCTGTACTGGTTAGACTTAAATGAGTTAAACCAAGGTCTATAGCCCTTGGGTCGTAAACTATGAGCTATAAGTATATTGGTCTTTTTATACTGGGAATCAGGAGTTATTTTAGTGTAGGGTTGTCACGGTAACCGGTATAGCGGTAAATCCCGGTAAAAAAGTTGACAATAAAAATAACCGTCCAGTTTTTAATAAACTAAATTATCTCGGTGGGTTTACCGTGGCCGCGGTTTCGGCGCGGTGACCCTTACCAGCCACCGTCGCTTCAGCTGAAGTTCCCGCGGCGCGCACACGCACTTTTTAGTTTGCAATGGCACCAAAACTTTGAAGCTGAAATAATGGCCGAAGGAGGAGACGGCAGCGCCCAGGACATCCATCAGCCCTCAAAGAAGACTAAATCGGAAGTATGGGCATATTTTGGATTTCTGAAAAACGCTGAGGGACAGTGAATAGAAGACGGCTATCCCGTTTGCAGAACGTGCAGGAAACAAGTGTCTGCAAAAGGCAGCAACACTTCGAATCTAATGGCACATCTGCGTGACCATCACCCACGTCTCTACAGCCAGTGCAAGGTAAGTTAACATTAGCATTTTAGCTTAAATGCATGACGTGAGGACTTTTGGCTGAGGGAGAATGCAACGAGTCACTATATACTGCAGCCGCAGCGTCCTCTGCCAGCATTTAAACCGTGTCACGGACACCCTGTTGCTGGATGAAGCATCTTATTTGTTGATGATGAAGAGAAATATACAATTAGTTCCTTGTCATTGATTTGTTTACTTATTCAATGCCATTTATACTTGAACATTTGGATTTGATTACATAGTGTAGTAGTAATTTTAGTAATTTGTTTAAAGTGGCTATTTGTTTTAAATACATATTTTTTAAGGTTGACTTGTACAGTGCTCAAGTCAAGTGTGGACTGGAGTTTTAGATTTTCATTTTGATAATGAAGAAAACAAGTATATGAGAAGACAAGTGGTGTTTCTTTGATTTGTTTACATATTGTTTATGTTTTGAATGTTTGGATTTGTATCATTTAAACCTGCACTGACTACTGTAACATGTTCCAGAAAAAGAAGCTATTTGTTCCTTTACTTGTGAAAAGTTGCACTTTTGCTAAGGCTTTGTGTTATTTTAGGTTTAATAAACACTGTTAAACCTTTTCAGAACTATTTCAGTTTGTGTAGAACAGGACTATCAATGCTTTCTGAACATATGCAACACTGTTTAAAAAATACCGCGATAATACCGAAAACCGTGATAATTTTGGTCACAATAACCGTGAGGTTACATTTTCATACCGTGACAACCCTAGTTTAGTGATCATCTTGTTTCTTATTTTTGTCCTGATTGTGCCCTGAGCAGTTTTATGACTGAATAAAAACAAATAAAATCAACATGAATGGAAAAATCGTCCTAAATAATCGTGATTATTATTTTTGCCATAATCGAGCATCCCTACTCACACCTCTGCTACCGGAGGTCCACAGTACCTGGAAGAGGGAGAGGGACTGGTCGAGACCGGCTGTCAGGATGACCTGAGCAGATGAGTGGAACTGCACGGTGGTCAGCCGGTCCTCGGAGGGACGGGCGCTGTTGGCAGGCAGACACTTCTTCACCTGAGACAGAAGAAACCAACAGGTGAAATAAAACTTGTGGAGGTGGCAGAAACTCACTCCCAACATGGAGGGTTAGAACTTGTGGTGCTGCTGCATCTGCCTTCTACCGTCCCTGACCTCATAATGCGGGTGTGTGTGCCATCACTGACCCTCAGGATACCACCGGGAAGACTCTCCGAAGATGCCACAAAGTTTCCTGTCCTCCTTAAAAGGTCATCTTCGTCGTCATCTTCGTCGTCATCATCAGCTGCAGAAGATCCAGAACAAATCTGGGTTTGGACCTAGGACTGGCCTAACCGCTACAGGCGTCATGTTCTGGTTTTACCTTTCTTCTTTCTCTGGTTGCTGGACTCAGCCCACGATGGAGTTCCTCCCATTGACTTCTGGAACCTGAAACACATGTCATGTGACTCCAGGTGTGTGTAAGGTGAACTGGTGTTCAGGTGTGTGGACTCACTGCTCCCTCATCCTCTGATGCAGCTTCTGTTTGGACATGGTGGTCTCGGCCTCTCCTTTCATCAGGTTTCTACGGTAACGATGTGTCATGTCCACCCTGACAGACAGGTGAATGAGACTTTGAGACGGATCCAACCTGAACACAAAAGGTGTCTGTCACTGTCATTCAACTCACTCTTCCTCCAGCTCATCATCCTCGTCCACCCAGGCATCTTGTCTGGGCTGCAGCTCCTGATGAGCCTCCTCCTCCTCCTCCTCTTCATCCCTGTCCTCCTCCAACAGCAGATCTCCCGTCAGCTTCTCATCCTCCTGCTCAGACACAGGCAGCTGCATTAAACACAACCCTCACTCTTCTGGTCCCTGGGGAAGCTACACCACGCTGGTAGATTCACGAGTACATGACGTTAAGATGAAGCTATCACATGCTGCGGTAAAACTACCCACGAGCAGCACATGAAACTGTCAGAAGGTTGGGTGATGCGTGGTGGGATCTTCACCTCCACCAGCCTCTCCAGCAGCTGGTCCTCTGTCCCGAACACCAACGACTCGAGCCTCTTAACGGTTCCGTCCTCCTCCCCAAGAACCGCTAGCTTCTTCAAGTTCTGCTGCCGCAGCTTCTCCTCTTCCTCCGGGTCGACTTTCGGTCTGCTTCTCTTCTTGGTCTGTGTTCCGTCCCCCGGTGCCGCCGGTAGCTTGATAACGTCCTCCATGTCTCCCACCGCCGGCTGCTCCAAATCAAACGAAACCGGGAATTGAACCCTAACAATAAAAACCTTTATTATTTATCTATTCATTTCTGCGCATGTAGCAGGAGAGAGCAACACATGTGGCGGAAGTACTTCCTTGCGCTGAAAGGGCCGTTTCCGATCTGTAAAACCATCAGAAATTCACAACTCCGCCCTCTAGCGGTCAAACGTAGAATTGTGGAATGGTGCATGTTATGAGCTCTGGTCAAATTCATGCACGAGATCGATTTCCTGTTTCTCTTTATTCTTCCAACTATTTAAAATATTTAGTTTCTGCAAATTTTCTGCTATTTCAACTGTAATTTAATATGTAAAACGTTCTGCTCTTTCCATATCTGCGGGAAAACTGGCTGCAGGAAAACTGGACATTAACCACATTTATCTCCTTGAATACATTTAAAACCAGACTGAGAGCCCTTCAGACGGATTCCCTGTGTTGTAACTGCCTTCTGTAATTTTGTACATGTCTGTGTAACTGAAAATTTGTAACTGTAACTTTTGCTGCCTCTTGGCCAGGACTCCCTTGAAAATGAGGTTTTTGATCTGAATGGGGCCTTCCTGGTTAAATAGAGAATAAATAAAATAAAATAATTAATTCTAAATTTTATGGTTTTCGTAATTTCATTTCCAATGTTCTGCTCTGATGGAATACTTTGAGAAACTTTCAATTTTTTTTCAATTAAGAAAAAAATCTGCTCTTCCAACAGGTTGTAATTCTAACATTTATACTTTTAAAATATTAAACTTTATTTGAAATCTTGCCCAACTCAGTCCATCCTTCTTCTCCTTCACTACCGGGGGTCAAGTTGCAGGGTTAGAAGTTCAGTCATCCGGGAGGGGCTCGGGGTAGACCCGCTGCTCCTCCACATCGAGAGGAGCCAGTTGAGGTGATTCGGGCATCTGGTTAGGATGCCTCATGGACGCCTCCCTGGTGAGGTTTTCTGGACACGTCCAATGAGGAGGTGACCTAAAGGTAGACCCAGGACACGCTGGAGGGACTATGTCCCTTAGCTGGCCAGGGAATGCCTCAGGATTCCCTTGGAGGAGCTGGGGAGAGGGAAGTCTGGGCCTCCCTGCTTAGTCTGCTGCCCCCGTGACCCGACCCAAGATAAGCGGCTGAAAATGGATGGAGGGATGAGTCACAGGGGCAATGCAGGGAGGCCCAGACTTCCCTCTTCCCAGCTACTTGGGCCAGCTCCTCTGGGGGAATCCTAAGGCGTTCCCTGGCCAGCTGAAGAACAGGCTCTTCATCGTGTCCTGGGTTATCCTTGTGTCCCCTCCCAGTTGGACGTGCCCGCAAAACCTCACCAGGGAGGTCCAGTTCAAATGAGGAGAAAAATGTTGAATTCTTTACCATTTCAAAAGTTTCTACTAACTTCATGGCAACTTGAAGCCATTACCATAAAACCTAGCTATTGTTCTTCTGCTCCACCAATAGTTTTACCATTCTCCCCTCAGTTTAACTCATTTTTCTTTCCCTTTCTGCTTCCACTGATTTCTGCTAGTTTCTCTTACTACTCATCTTCTACGTTCAGCGGCTTCAGCCATCAACATTCACCAAGGATTCACTGGATAGTTTAAACTTACATTCAAAGTGGCTCAAATGTATTTAATAAAATGTTTGAATAACAAAAATAATCATTGTGCTGATCTGGAGCACTCGGGTTTGCGTTAAAGGCATGCCAGGGGAAACAAAAGCAATGACCTTATCGGTCTGGGAAGGGTCAAAGGTCAGTCCAATCTGTCATGAACTAATGGTGGTGTAGACTGGATTATCGGGTTTCCAACAGCTAAACCTCATCCTTTAGATGTGGAAACTGTTTTGTTTACCTGGAGTAACCAAAATAAAAACCAGTAGAACAGAATAAAGCACACTGACAGAGGCTAGAGTCTGCTGGAGTTTATTTCAGACACCTGCAGTTAGAAGATGCACAAACCAGTTAGAGAGCATGCTGTTAAACTGGGACAGACACAACCATCAGGCCCAGTGTCTGAAAGGCACTGCAGGACCGGTCACCTGCAGCCTGGAGACACATTACAACAGCGACAGCAGAGTTCAGACTCACAGGCTCGAACGGGGAGCAACGGTTTGTAAGGCAAACAGAGTCGGGGGGGGGGGGGGGTGTCAGTTGAACAGAACCGGGACACGTCTTCAGTGAATCTGGTGGAAATAAATCTGTTTCAGTTGAACAGATAAGTCAAGTCTGCTTAGACAGGAAGGTGCTCAGTACCACGGCCCAACCAGGAGGAGGGTAGAAACCGCCTTCAGACACACTCCATCTGACCTGGAGCACAGAGACACCGCACAGGTCACAACACCTGCAGGAACATAAAACCGATGAATCCAACATAACGCTGAGGCTAGTTATTCTGAAATGATCTCAAAGTCCCTCCTCTGATCACCAAACGTAAAAACAAATGCAACTCCTAGGGAAATATTGATGCGTGAAAAAAAACTCCTTACAACAGACTAGAGAGAAAAATGACCTTAAATCTAATATTACTGTCTGTACTTTGAATCGAGTTGTTCCGTTTCATCTGTTTTAGTGAATTTCTAATCATTCGGTTTTTCTTAATACAATATTAGATTAGAGACCGAATCTGGTTTCATTTGCTTATTAACAAAACGTTGTTTTATAATTAAAATTTGTCTTTTATTTACTGACCTTGTTATTCACTTGGGACTTTTCCCTGTTAACGTACATACGTGTGTGTGTGTGTGTGTGTGTGTGTGTGTGTGTGTGTGTGTGTGTGTGTGTGTTGCAGCTCATTCTCTCCCAGACTGGAACCTTTGACTTCATTGAATCAAACTTCTAGGATTATTTCAAAGGGAAAAAACAAGATGAATGTGTAAAAGGATGAAAATGTTCATCATTTTCTCCTGAACTGAATTCTCTCGCTGCTGGTTTCCAGTTTAAGCTCAAACTGCTCCTGCTGCTGAGGGTGTAACACTGAAATAACACAACACTAGTTGGTGGTGGCGGCTGCTGGACCAGCAGGTCCAAATACCCATCAGTTTGATCAGCTGACCGGCCTGCAGGGGTGGGAGGAGCTTCCTAACATCACCTCCGTGGGTTGCTTCGGCCCATCTTGGCATTTTTAGAGTCGAACTGTTCAAAAACTGGATTCTGCTGCTGACCTCATCAGAACCATCAGAACCAGCAGGTCTGCTGATGAAGCTGAAGAATGAGAGTATTTACAGTTTTACTGAGTCTATTAGAAGTACCCGGTTAGCTGGTCTGCTCTCAGGTCCAGGTCTCTGGAAGTCCCAGTGTGAGTTTGTGGTTCTTTCATCCCGTCAGAGGTTAGTAATAGATTACTAATAGATTAGTAATCGATTCATCTGTCAGGTTTGAACATTTTCAAGGTTTTTTGTTAGTGTTAAATCAAACTATAATAAATCAGAGTAGCTTCTTCTCAGCTGGTCCTTTAAATCTTCATCACCTCCTCTTCCTCCTCTAGGCTGAAGTCTGATCAAACAAAAAGTGCAGGTGCAGAAAGATGTGATGAATCAAACAAGTGAGCAGAAGATGACGATGCTCCTCCTCTTTTAGCCCGATTCTTCCTCCCGTCTCACACACAACTCCTTCTGATTGGTCCATAAATCAGGCATCCCCTCTGCAGATGGGGCAACGATGGGATGGCAAAGCCAGTATGTGTGTGAGGCTTCATCATGTCGTTCACCTCCCTACAGGAGGAAGGGGCGGGGCTCCTCTCATCACTAAAACAAACAGAAACAGGAGCAGGTAAAAACGGTGAGCCAGCCGGTGACGTGCGGTCTGGCTCAACGGTTGTACCTCTGTTGGCTTTGCTCGGGTAAATCTTCGTGAAGTGTCTGTACTCGTCTGGAGGGGGGAAGTCATCCAGAGGATGGAATGAATACTTAGACTCAAAGTCATCTGTAGGAGGAGAAGGAGCTCAGTAATCTGGATGCAGCCGTTTGATCTCTTATTCTAATAAAACACTTCAGATCAAAACAAAACCGGATGCTTCCTAACAAACAGTTCCCTTTTGTACGGATGACGGGAAAGATGAGGGGGGATGAAATGATGAACAGTCAGAGGTCGAGAGAGGACAGGGCACAGAGTAACAGCGAGCTGAGTTATGATGAATCAGCAATCATGTGTCAGAAGATCTGATCGAAACACTGATTGGTCAACAGGCTCTCAGCTGGACAACTCACCAACAAACGAGCGAGGGATGGAGGAGGAGGCGGAGTGTCCGTTACGGAGAGGGGGAGGAGGTGGGGGAAGGGCTGCAGGAGTGCGGGAGGGCGGAGGAGGAGGTTTTCCTCTGCCGGGGAGTTCAGAGGGCAGGGAGGGGCTACCATGTGTCCTGTACGGAGGAGGAGGCGGAGCTTCTCTGCCACCCGCCCTCAGTGAAGAGGATGATGATGATGATGATGACTGGGCTGGAACAGGAGGGGCTGAGGAGAAACCAGGACAGGTGATCAGGATACGTGCTTGTGAAGATCAAAATTAAAAGCTGGTCAACAGAACCCGAGAAGAACTTCAGAGGTCCACAGGGGTCAAGGAGCGGACAGCTGGTCATATTGTTATGGCTGACTGGAGATTACCATAAACAAAACAGATGGGTGCAGATGAATACTCGGTATAAAAAATATTTAAAAGCAGGAACAAATGCCTTGTGAGTCGATCTGTGAGGAAAAAAAAGCTCTGGCGCTGCTGCTTCAGGAAGTAGACCTGAGCTAGGGCAGAGATTTGGACTCTTACTCCCTGATACTCAGACGTCTCTTCTCTGATTGGCTAACTGCAACATGACTACCGTTGACTTCGTTTGGTCTGCAGTGCTGATGTTTTTTTGGGGAGAGTCGCTAATGCTAACGGTTAACTTCTGTTAGCCAAGAAGGGCTCTACTCTCTCCTGGATACAAACATGTTACAGAAGCAAGAAGAGAGTGTATCCTACATTACCCATAATGCATCTTTAGAATAAGTTGAACACCCACCTGCACCTCTACATGGTGGATCTCTGACAGGAGGCATTGGCCTGTTAGCCCCCTGTTGGGAGGGTGTGGGGGATGCTGGGGGAGGTGGAGGGGCGGGGCCCCTGGTGGGGGTGTGGCCTCCAGGTGAGGGGGCGGGTCTCTTGTTGCTCAAAGAGTTGTGACGTTGCGGCAGCTCCGGTGCTGTTTCAGCACCACCCGTTGGTCCGTTGATGCGGTAGGGTGGACGAGGCAGGGCCAGGGAAGAGGTGGTAGAGAAGGTGGAGTTTCCTCCAGAAGTGGGGGGGCGTCTGCCATTGCTAGGAGATGGTGGTGGCTTGGATGGGAGGGGCGGGGTGTTGTTAGGAGTAGGTGGGAGGGGCTTGTCTCTGTTGTAAGTGGTGGAGGGAGGAGACGGGGCATTACCACGACGACAAAGGGGAGGAGGGGGAGGTGGTGCAGAGGAAGAGTGTTTCATGCCGGCAGAGGGGGAGGAAGCAGCAGAAGAGGGGGCAGATTGGGCAGGGGAGGAGGACAGATTAGGGAGGGAAGGACGCTGTGAACACATTGGTGATATCTGAGGGGAGGGGCTTTCAGGATTGTCAGGGCGCTGGCTTGGTGGGCGGGGCGCAGCACCACGCGTGGATGGAGAGCATCCAGAGGAGGTGTCTGCAACAAACGCCAACAACAACAGGCTGCACATCAACGCAACTTATTATCAGCATTCATTTATAGAAATCGATAATCAAAATAAAGGATATCTGGAATTAGTCAAAAACATTAGAACAGTGTCTGAAAGACAAACAAATCATTTTGAATCTGTATTTATCAAACATTAAAATTCAGTAAAAACATTTATTTCTAAAGGTTGAGTATAAAAACACAAACACGGCAGGTCTGTGAAGCTAGTTGAACACGTTTATGAGAAAAGGATCCGTGAAACCTCCTGACCTCCGACGGGTCTCAGCTTGTGAATGCTGCCAGTAAACAGGCTTCCCATTGGTGGAACAGACCCTGATGGAATTCCTGCTGCGCTGCCATTGGCTCCTGCAGCTGCTCCGCCTCCTTTGGACTCTGAGAACCACAACCATTGGACTGGTGAGAGCAGGCTGAGGGTGTGATGTCATAGGCATACACCAACTCTACAATGACATCACTGACGTGACAGACTGATTAGTGTGACAGGTGAGATGCAGGTGAGATGCAGGTAATGACTTCAGACACTGAAGTGAGATGAAACGAGATGAAGTGATAAGGAAATAACTTTAAATGAAGTGTTTACACTCCCAAGTCGCTCCGATGACATCATCGCCAGCAAAACATACAGTCAAAAACATGTTAGGAATATTCATGACATCCCCAGTGATCAGGACACACAGCCAAAATTATTCATCCTACTTTTCCAGATTGTCAGTCAAGAAGTCAGATATGATCACACACACGCAGGGTCCGAAATTAACACTCGCCACTCGCCAAATGCGAGTAAATTGCTCCATTTGGCGAGTAAATTTTTGAGCTCTACCTGCCACCTGGCGAGTAAATATTTGCACCAAATTAGTTATGTTTATCAGTCATCTAACACGGATGTCTGATACTCCTCCCGCCTGCATGCAACGTACACAAACGTACGCGAAACGTGAGTGCCGCATCCAACGTCATTTCCACCTATCCCATTCAATCAGTTTATCAAGTTAGCTGTTAGCTTCGTGTTAAAACTAGCGGTGAAATGTGGCGGTTTTTAGCTGGAGTCAGCCAGCCTTCCAAAAGAAAACTCGTCGAACTGGAAGAAAAACCACCAGGACCAGTGGAAACCAGAAGATTTTGTGAAAAGTGGCGAACTGGAGACGGCGGAGTCGTGAGACAATGGCTACATTATGATGGCCACGTAGCGTTGCTGCCTTTCACAGACAACTGGCCCTCGGCATTCTTCAAATATCCAAAAAATGCCCGTACTTCCCACTTTGTCTTCTTTGAGGGATAATAAATGTCCCAAGTGCTGCCGTCTCCTCCTGCCATTATTTCAGCTTTAGCTTAAAGAAAGTTTTGGTCGTAAACAACAAAGTGCGCATGTGCCGCCAGCAACTTCCAACAGATGATACGGTGGCTGGTAAGGGTCACCGCACCTACACCGCAGCCACGCTAATCCACCGAGATAATATATATATATATATATTTTTTAAACAAGACTGTTATTATTTATTGTCAACTTTTTTACCGGGGTTTACTGCTACACCGGTTACCGTGACAACCCTAGCCCTGACACACTTTCAGATATTCTCATGGTGCAGCTGTGTTCTCCAGAGATCAAGGACTAGGACCCAAATGAGGCTGTAATGCTTTGGCACAAAGACAGTGTCAGAAGCAGGAGGCCAGACTTCATGGACAGAGAAAACAAGGAGTCTGACTAGATTTCAATGAAAGAGTTCATAAAAACATCTCTAAAAATAAATAAATAGTAAAAATGACAAAAGAGTTGTTTTCCTTATTAATTGATGTTTTAATTATTTTGTCACTCTGTTTGGAATCAACATAATATAGAATAACATGCTTTAGGTAGATCTAAATCATTTAGAAATTTGGCCGGTAAAAAATATGCTTGGCTGGTAGATTTTCATCATCTACCGGCCAACTTGGCCGGTGAGTAAAACATTTAATTTCGGACCCTGCACACACGTCAGTCTGAAGAGGTCCCTCTCCTGTTTAAATACATCTGCAGTGGTCTCTAGCAGGAATGAATGCCTTGTAAGTTGTACTCTGGGGGGAACGCTCAGATGTGCCCGTTTCAGCACGGAGAATTCAGCTGGAGGAGAAAGCAGCTTTAGATGACAGGAACAGGAGTTTTCTTCCCTGATATTTGGACATCTCACCTCTGATTGGCTAACAACAGCGTGACTCTACCACTGATCCAGTTTACTCTGCAACGCTGATGTTTTGCCTCCACAAATAACACAAGCCTGGAGGAGTTCTGCTGTGTGGTGGAGTTGCTAATGCTAGCAGTTAGCAGAGATGTTTCCTGGATGCTAAAACAACAACAACCTTCCCAGTTGTGAGCCACGATGGGTGAGTCCATGAATGTTAAGTGACAGGGTGACGTAGATCTGTCAGGATTTATAAATCCTAGAGTTTCAATGTCTATTTTCTACCACAAGCTAATGCAGGAGATAGGTGTAGGAGACTATTTTCATGTTCAGCCTGCAGGAAAAACTCAGTGACTGATTACTTAAAAAATAACAAATAAATAATGATTTCTCAGTGAAGGACCTCTTTAAATGAAACAGAAAACAGATCCAGAATCAGAGTGGGAATTTCCCAGTATGGGGCCTCGTGCGTCAAGCATGCGTATGCACAAAATCCCAGCACACGCATGCTTCTACGCAGAGATCAGGTCCATCAACATGAACTGATTGTGGGATTGTGCACAGCTTCATGCTTCATGCGAGCACCAAGTTCCCATGATTCCTACAGGCATCCGTGTGTTTGGCAGCATTTAGTGTGGGCATGTTAAGTCTTAATGATGTGAACGTACTCTGGTTCATACAACACCTAACAACCATGTTGCAGTTAGAAGAGTGGTGCAGGAAGCCCTTTACCAACAGCTTAATGAGAGGATGCTGTCGATGGCGCGGTGTGAAGAGGCCGTTTATCTAGAGACCCAGAACATTTTCTGTGCCAACATGAGACCGGCTCATCAGCTGCTTTAGGCCAGCTGTGCCTTCATCCGTGGCTGATCTGAGGGTGCAGCGTTGTAGGAAGTGTACAACGTGTACTCACAGCTTGTTACGCCCTCTATTGGTGGATGAGGAGAAGGACGGGGAGTAACAGAGCACTGAGTGTCATGTGTGGAAATTGTAAACATTGATTTTATTAAAAGGATTTTAAAATGACAAAAAGCTCCAAATCTAAAAGTACTTAAACACATTGTTAAAATGGCCAAGGGCTTTCGTTTAAACAGACATCCGAATGCTGCCAAGCCTTCACAATCAAAGTCCACTGACTTACACAAGTTTGGGAGCCAAGAGGAAACCGGCACTCTGGTCCCTCGTCTGTTAAAAACCTCTAAAAGCTCTTAAGCTTCACTAATCTTAAAGAACTAAAACCCATTTAAAAGCCATTCAAACACAAACAAATGGAGCACGAGGGAGCTGGCACAGACCAGTCTCTCCCTTTTACGCTGCTCAGGAGGTGATCAGCCCAGGTGAGTGCAGCTGTGCAGGTAGGAGGAGGAGGAGGCAAAGCGCTGACTGTCCTCTGCAGAGTCAGCTTTCTGGGACGAAACAGCAACAGCCGTAACACGGTGGAAGAATCTGTTGTTTCTGGTGGACCGCGTCCCCAGTTGAACAGTAAGAAAACCATTTGCAGCCAGAGCTGGTTCTCCTGATGTAATCAGACCCATCAGGGGCACACGCATCACTTTAACGCTTCACCACAAGATGAAGATGTTTGTTAAGAGGAGTCCTTTTACTCAGTGTGTGCACGAACCAACGTGGAGAAGAAGTGATTCATTTATTCTAAACAACAGCTGGTTTAGAACAAACGGGCATGTTACAGACGTAAACTGTTTTATTACCAACTCTCCCTGCAGCACATAAACGCCCACGCCTGTAAACATCATCCACTCTACGCACCATAACTACTCAGTGATTGGTTTACACTTCCTGGTTTGTTCAGTTGAAGCTAGTTTTCAGTTCCCTCGTGAGCACCAGAGCATCTGTATTCACTGTTCTCATGTAAATGAGCTGAAGCGTAATGCAGCAGAGTCAGCCTTTCTCAGGTGTGATGAAACATTTACAGTACGTGCTGTGGTCCAGTGCACTGGCACCGAGCTGTAGCGTTTAGCATTAATGCAGAGGCCAGAGCACAAGCACCATGTGTGTTCAGCTCCGCTGCGTTCAGGGGACATTCGCTTGTGCGAGCAGTTTTCATGACTCGACTGTACAACGTTATTAAGATCACAACACAACACAATGTTGTCCAACGTGCTGAACTTAAACATATGGAGGAAATTCACCATGAAGCCACAGGTAGTTTAACTAACCCGTTACAGACGGTTACCATGGAGACAGCTGGTCCTACACCATTTGTTAACATGTGCAAACAAGGTTTTACAGCATCTGTTACCATGGAGACAGATACGGGAGGTTTAACAGCATCTGTTACCATGGCAACAGCGACCGATGGATAACAGCTCAAGCAGTCTCCTGGTGCTGAAAATGGAGGTAAACCTGTCATAATCTGGTGATAAACTTGCTAGAGTAACAGAATGTTTTAATTCTGTGTGTGTGTGTGTGTGTGTGTGTGTGTGTGTGTGTGTGTGGTGTGTGTGGTGTGTGTGTGTGTGTGTGTGTGTGTGTGTGTGTGTGTGTGTGTGTGTGTGTGTGTGTGTTCTGTTCAGAGTTTCGTCCATGATAAAAACAGATGACTTGTGGTTCACCGACAAGTCATTTTATTATTAGTTCTGATTATAAATTGATCCTTCTGACTGTTTCATGCGGGCTGAACATGAAAATAGTCTCCTACGCTTTTCTCCTGCTCTAGCTTCTGACAGAACAGACGGCGAGACCCTAGGATTATAAAACTGCTACTTAATGGACTCACCCATTGTGACTTAGGTTGTTTTAGCATCCAGGAAAAAACAGTGAACAGTAGCTAGTAGAAGCTAACCATTAGCATTAGCAGCTCCACCACACAGCAGAACTCTTTCAGGCTTGTGAAATTTGTGGAGGTAAAACATCAAATTTGCTGAGCAGACTGAGTCAGTGGAAGAATCACATAGCTGTTGGCCAATCAGAGGTGAGATGTCCAAATATCAGGAAGTAAGTCTCCAAATCTGAAGCTCTCTTCTGATCTGGCAATCGTCTAGATCCTGAAACAGGAGCTCCAGGGCTTTTTGTACCCAGGGTACGACTTACAAGGCGTTCATTCCTACTAGAGGCCACTGCAAACGCACTGATTAAATGAACCACACCTTTAAGAGTTAAAGAATGAACTAAACTTTGTGAAATTAAACTAATTCTTGCATCCCTTTGTAATTTAGAACCCTTCTGAATTGGAGTGATTTGTTGGTGTCCGTGTGTATTTAGCTGAGGAGTCAGCAGGACTTTCTGAAGCTGCTTTTGATCCAGGATGGAGACAGATTTGTTTGGCATCTTGTCTCCCTTTTAACAGTTTTTCAACCAATCCAACATTCAAATCAGCGACAGAGAAAACATTGGTTTGTTCTACCTTCTTTAGTTCTTCTCCAAAGAATAATTCTGTTTACAACTCTGCTCATGATTCGGACTCTGCTCTGAGTTTAAATACTCTTTTGTTACGGACCGTCTGTTGAAGAACAAACATTTTATGTCCATCTAGTTCATAAAAAATCAACAGAACCAAATACAATATTATATCCATTAGCCATGGAGCACAAGTTGGATTAAACAGAATCATCCTATAGGAGATCGGTGCTTTACAGAGTTTGAAGCATCAAGAGCCAAGATGTCCACCGTCCACTCAGGTGTCCTCCTCAGGGGCTGAACAGAAGCGTGAATTGTCTTAAAGCTGTTAGCAGCTAGATGAATCAGCTGCTCAGAGACTAGCCTTAGCCAGAATCATGCAGAGTTCTGAGTGGTGTGCTCTGTGGGAGGGTTAGGACCAGCCTATGGGACACCAGGTGGACGGAGGACGGTCTAACTGACAGCAGCAAGAAGCTGCAGCATCTGTTTAAGCAGTCGCTCCATCACCTGTCCACCTGCTCCACTCACACACTGAAGCCTGACAGCATGAAGCCCAGTTAGTCCAACTCAGCAGAAACCATCAGAGACAGAGAAGAAAGGCTGAGTATCAGTAAAAGCAAACAGGAACGACAAGAATGAGGAGAAACAAATATGAAGACACAAGACGAGGACAAGTCATGTGATTGATCTAGTCACCAAAATAACCCACATGTTAAATTGTCCTCATTGCGTTTTCTCTTATTTGTTTTGCAAAAGCACTTCCTTTCATTTCTCCACCTCACCCACAGGTACCTCACTTCTGCTTGGGAAATTGCGTTTCCTTGTTCTGCGGTCGGGATCTTAATGGCGGAGCGCTGCAACAGCCGGCTTATGTATATGCATGAGGTCCACAAGGCACTTTGCACTGACCATTTATGGCAGTAAGGGGGCGTGGTGAGGGCGGGATGTGACTAAAAATTACCTGAGAACCTTTCTCGTTAGTCTGATTGGTGAAGCGGAGACCGCGTGCAGCTGAGCGTCCTCCATGTTTGATAGGTCCCACACCTGCTTGGCGTAAGCACTTTTCTTTTGCGGAGCTTAAGTACGGTTTAGTAAGGATTCGACGCCATGTTTGATAAATGAGACCCCTGGTCTGTGATTGGTCAGATGCTTGTGAAGTGGTCTGATTCAGACTCATTTTGTGGACAAACTTTCTCAATGCCGACTGATATTGTTGCTATGGTAACACTCTGTGCTCTTAGTCGTCAGGTGGACATGACGGGAGCAGACTGGCACCATGTGAATAACACAGTCATAGTCCACAGGGAGTTTCTGTCTCTGACTTCTGGTCATGTGATTGCAGATCAGCTAACCCCCCCACACCCCCACCCCCAGTGGACAGGGACTACACCGACTGATTAAAAGTGACCGCAGCCTCCTGCAGCTGACCTCTACAATCAGAGAACATGGAGGTCTTACTCTGAAGGGACAGAGAGGAGCTCTGATCTCCGGCTGTCCTCTTCAGCTCCTCAGATGGTGCCCCCTGCTGTTTAGGCTGCTTCTGGTGCTGTAGGTACTGGTATAAGCGAATGTATGGGTGCTCTGTGGGAGGTGTTTGGCTCTTTGGTGTTTGAGTCTTACTGTCGAGCAGCGGAGCGCTGCGGTCGTTCACCACCGCCACCTTCTTCAGCCTGGTGCCTTTGCAGATGTCAGACAGCAGAGCATCGCGACCTTTGGCCTCATCCCCGCTCAGCTTTGGGGGGTTGGTGTTGGCCTGAGGGTGGTGGAGGGATGGAAGGGGAAGACGCCGTCAGTGGCTGCTGTGCTAACATCATCCTTGTTCAAGTCACTGTTGTTGTTTGTGTATTTTCCCTCTAAAATATTAATTTCTTCGTAAGATATACAGGTGCTGGCCAGTAAATTAGAATATCATCCAAAGGTTGAAAATATTTCAGTAATTCCATTCAAAACGTGAAACTTGTACATTATATTCATGCAATGCACACAGACCAATGTATTTCCGATGTTTATTACGTTTAATTTTGATATTTATAGGTGACAACCAATGAAAACATCAAATCTGGTATCTCAGAAAATTAGAATATTCTAAAGGCCAATGAAAAAATGTTTGTTTCTCTAATGTTGGCCAACTGAAAAGAATGAACATGAAAAGAATGTGCATGTATAGCACTCAATACTTAGTCGGGGCTCCTTTTGCCTCAATAACTGCAGTAATGCGGCGTGGCATGGACTCGATCAGTCTGTGGCACTGCTCAGGTGTTATGAGAGCCCAGGTTGCTCTGATAGTCGTCTTCAGCTCCTCTGCATTGTTGGGTCTAGCGTATTGCATCCTCCGCTTCACAATACCCCATAGATTTTCTATGGGGTTAAGGTCAGGCGAGTTTGCTGGCCAATCAAGGACAGGGATACCATGGTCCTTGAACCAGGTGCTGGTGGTTTTGGCACTGTGTGCAGGTGCCAAGTCCTGTTGAAAGGTGAAGTCTGCATCCCCATAAAGTTGGTCAGCAGCAGGAAGCATGAAGTGCTCTAAAACTTCCTGGTAGACGGCTGCATTGACCCTGGACCTCAGGAAACAGAGTGGGCCAACACCGGCAGATGACATGGCACCCCACACCATCACTGACGGTGGAAACTTTACACTGGACCTCATGCAACGTGGATTCTGTGCTTCTCCGCTCTTCCTCCAGACTCTGGGTCCTTGATTTCCAAAGGAAATGCAGAACTTGCTTTCATCAGAAAACATAACTTTGGACCACTCAGCATCAGTCCAGTCCTTTTTGTCCTTGGCCCAGGCGAGACGCTTCTTGCGCTGTTTCTTGTTCAAGAGTGGCTTGACACACGGAATGCGACACCTGAATCCCATGTCTTTCATGAGTCTCCTCGTGGTGGTTCTTGAAGCGCTGACTCCAGCTGCAGTCCACTCTTTGTGGATCTCCCCCACATTTTTGAATGGGTTTGTCGTCACAATTCTCTGCAGGGTGCGGTTATCCCTAGAGCTTGTACACTTTTTTCTACCACATTTTTTCCGTCCCTTCGCCTGTCTGTTAATGTGCTTGGACACAGAGCTCTGCGAACAGCCAGCTTCTTTAGCAATCACCTTTTGTGTCTTGCCCTCCTTGTGCAAGGTGTCAATGATTGTCTTTTGGACAGCTGTTAAGTCAGAAGTCTTCCCCATGATTGTGGTGCCTTCAAAACAAGACTGAGGGACCTTTTAAAGGCCTTTGCAGGTGTTTTGAGTAAATCAGCTGATTAGAGTGGCAGCAGGTGTCTTCTATATTCAGCCTTTTCAGAATATTCTAATTTTTTGAGATACCAAATTTGGAGTTTTCATTAGTTGTCACTTATGAATATCAAATTTAAATGTAATGAACATTGGAAATACATTGGTCTGTGTGCATTGCATGAATATAATGTACAAGTTTCACGTTTTGAATGGAATTACTGAAATATTTTCAACCTTTTGATGATATTCTAATTTACTGGCCAGCACCTGTAAATGTAGGACCCCCCCCCCCAACGCCTCAGGTCTGTGAGCAACAAATGACAGAAGAGGAGGAGGAGTAACTCTGGGAGGTGACAGCAGAAGAATGACTACAAAGACAGAAAAAGAATAAACTTTGATAAATGCAAGTGCTCACCTGGCAGAGGGTGGGGGGAGGCGGGGGTCCACCAGGGGGAGGCGGAGGAGGAGGGATGGGCATTCTGCTGCTGACTCAACACACTCCTGAACCCTGAAACACAAACAACCAACAGATCCATTTCTGGATAGATTCAGTCAACTGAAAAAAATAAAAATAAAAAAATTCACCACCAGAAGTCTGAGTCTCCTAAATCCATGTATGATGGGAGGTCTGGAGCTCAGAACTGGACCCAGATTCATCAGAACACTGGTTTTAAAGATTTCATTCACAAAAAACATTCATCCATCCATTTTCATCCACTTATCCGGAGTCGGGTCACGGGGGCAGTAGCCTAAGTCGAGAGGCCCAGACTTCCCTCTCCCCAGCCACTTGGGCCAGCTCCTCCGGGGGAATCCCAAGGTGCTTCCTGGCCAGGTGAGACAAGGTGTTCCCTGGCCAGGTGAGAGACATAGTCCCTCCACCGTCTCCTGGGTCTACCTTTAGGCCTCCTACCGGTTGGACGTGCCCAGAAAACCTCACCAGGGAGGCATCCAGGAGGCATCCAGACCAGATGTCCGAGCCACCTCAACTGACTCCTCTCGATGTGGAGGAGCAGCGGGTCTACTCCGAGCCCCTCCCGGATGACCGAGCTTCTCACCCTATCTCTAAGGGAGAGCCCAGCCACTCTGCGGAGAAAACTCATTTCTGCCGCTTGTATCTGTGATCTCGTTCTTTCGGTCCCTACCCAAAGCTCATGACCATAGGTGAGGGTAGGAACGTAGATCGACCGGTAAATCGAGAGCTTCGCCTTCTGACTCAGCTCTCTCTTCACCACGACAGACCGGTACAACGCCCGCATCACTGCAGATGCAGCACCAATCCACCTATCGATCTCACGCTCCAGTTTTCCCTCACTCCTGAACAAGACCCCGAGATACTTAAACTCCTCCACTTGGGGCAGGACCTCATCCCTGACCCGGAGAAGGCTTTCTACCCTTTTCCAAATCAAAAAAATAAAATAAAAATAATAATAATCAGAACAGACGGTCTTTAAATGATCAGTAAAAACTTCCATTTGAGGGGGAAAAAATTTAAATAAATAAAAAAACAAAGTGCAAAAAAAGAATAAAAACTGCAATGTGACCCCGAACCAAACTAAATCCGATTTGATCTTCAGAGAGAAGACGCCACTTCAGTTTGAACCGCAGTGTCCTGATGAAAAATCTATCAGAAATGTCCAAAAGCTTGCTGATGCTCCACCTGACAAACCAAACTAAAGTTCCAGCATCATCTCCTGGTGCAGTGCAGATTGGAGTCACGTCGTTTATCTAAGTCATCAGCTTACGTTGTGTTAGAACAAAATAAAGACTGCTTACATATTCATAAAGCAGATCATATAAAACGTTTTAAATCTGTTTTGATTTAAAACATTTTCAAATGACAGACGAACAGTTAAGAGACCGATCTGGGAGTAGTTAGAACCAGTGATGGGAAAAACGCTGTTTAAGTATAACGGCGTTCTTTTTTAGGTAACGGAATATTCTAATTAATTACTTTTCCCGCCGTTGCAACGCCGTTACCGTTACTGGGGACGTAAGGAAGTGCGTTACTATGTGCTTGTCAAACGTTGAGCAGCAGTGTGAGGCTTTCTGACCGCCACACTTCAGCTGCAGCCAGGGAGAGAGAGGTGTCGGTAACGCACTTACAAACTCGATGATGATTGGCCGGGTGGGCGGAGACCCTCACCGTCTCAGTCGCTACCTGCTGTAGACACAACAGAGCAGTGATGGGAATAACGCCGTTTAAAATAACCACGTTAATAAAAAATATATATATATCTTTCTGTAACGAGCAAACTGATTAATTACCGTCTTCTTTTAACAAAACGTCGTTTCTGTTACTGATAAGGAAATGTGTGCGTTAAGCAGCGCGGTGTGTTGAAGCTGTCATCAGCTGATCAGGAGCTAAAGAGGTAGATGTTTCCATCCAAGAGCATCACGGCCGTGAAGAACGAGGAAGACGTGATGAATAGTCTACGGCGGCAGACGGTCTGCCGCCGTGCCCTTCTTAGCATGACAGCGGGACGTCCCGAAGGTCCGCTCACCTGTTCACCGCTCAGACGTCCTGATCTTCTACCTTCCTAGATACTCCAGCTGTGACCTGTTTCTGATCATGTCTTTAGTCCCGCTGTAACACTGATGCATCAGTCTCAGACGTCATGGAGCTCAGGTGTTATTAGAACTACCTGTGTGTGTTCACCACCCAGCTTCAGCTCTTCTGTGGTTGGGTCTGACCCAGGTTAGTAAATGTAAGTCCTCCATCAGGCTCGTGCCTCTTCTAGTGTCATTTTAAAGGATTTTATTTATTTATTTAACCGTTACTAGATTACCCGCAACAGAAATGCTAATAACAGTTATGTGAAGCTGGATAAATTAAAATACTGTACAAAATTACATTTATTTCTGTAATTTAACTAGACCGAGAGACCATTTAAAGGCTCGGGAACCTTTACAGGCGTTTCTATTTGTAATTTTAAATTTTAGCTGATTGGGGTCACAGTGACCTTTTAATAGTCTAGATTAGTGTAATGCTCCTGTTAGTAGTTACTCCTGTTAAGAGCTTATTTATTTAAATTATTCAGGTTTATAAAAACATTTGGACATTTTATTATGTTCCTGTCATTAGTCATTTATATTTCACTATTGTAGTACTTTATAGTAAATTAAGTAAGTTCAATTCACCCATTTTTCTTGCATTCTTATATGAAAAAAGTAACTAAGTAGTTATTTTTCTTGGTAATTAGTTACTTTTATAATCTCGCAACTCAGCTAGTAACTGAGTTACTTTTTTGACAAAGTAATTAGTAACTATAACTAATTACTTTTAAAGTAACGTTCCCCACACTGGTTAGAACCAGGGGCGGCGTTAGGCCCGGCTACTTGGGCTGAAGCCCCGGATCTTTCATGTTAAGCCCCGGATCTAAAGAGTAGGACCTGGCTGCAGACATCAGCTGGTGTGTCGAGAGCAAGATGGCGTGTCATTACTTTTACCGGAAAATCGACGAGCGAAAGACCTCGGCAGGAAGTTGGTCTTTTTTTGGCGGCCGCTACGTTGTTTTTGTTTCAACCATACTCGGCGGGTTTCAATTGAGGAAAGGTAAGGATAAGGATGATAGATAAAGAAAGAAAGATAAGGATGAAATTAACTAATTGTTGCAACCGTTCTTAGTTCTTAAATGTAGGCACTGTAGCGTTTAAAGCTTTACCAGAGAATTATTGCAAAGGCACCGTGTTTCATAGCTAATTGTATCAATATTAACACGCAGTCTTCAAACGAATGCAGGGAGATCACAAGCTAGCTAACACAAAAGCTACATAAATAAAGCTATCAGCAACTGTAGCTTAGCTTTAACTTAGCTATTTGATTTTTCTGGTCTCCCTGTTTGTTAAAACAGTTAAAGTAATAATATTAACTTTATATATAATTTAGATATGATATAAAGACCACGATTTCTAATACTGACTTGACTGAAACGTTATTAATACCCTTTTTTAATTAAAAAGCGTAGATTTTCAGAGATTTGTAAGTGGTTTCAATCACTAGTTTTCATACGAGGCTAAAGTTAGCTTCCGATTCGGGAAATGGCTAAAGGGCTAATACACCCAATTTTTCTCTACTCTGACCATTTTTATTCTGCTCTAGCTCAAAACCTACAATACATACACTCTTCAAACCTGTTTTAAATTATTCTGGGCTCGTAGGAATGCATAAAACATAGTTTGTGATTTGTGAAACCTTCCTCTGATTTGTGAAACTTCAAAAAGACAGATTTATGAATTTATTTTTCAGCATCTGGCCCACACTAGAACTGGTCCTGTGCACCCAGAAATAAAATGTATTTTCTGGACAAGCTTAGCTTTCAATATCTCTAAATATTTTTCAGTTATTGTGTGTGGTGTGCTGGATCATTCTACTGTGGTTGCACAAATCAGGTGTCCTGCAACAGGTACAATAACTTTGAAATAGTAGCCGCTTCTCTAATTAATGCCGCCCTCCTTCTGATTCTGTTTCAGAATAATCCTATCCTTATAAAAAATAGATATTTTGGTTGACTGACTGCTTTGATCGGGTTTGGTTTATATTAATATTACCGGATTTAAGCACATGTAGCTGCAAATCATTCAGGAGTTACAGGCCTTAAATATAGATCTAAAATGAATATCGGACTTCTTCAAGTGACACTGACAAAACTCCTTACATGTGCTTGTATTCTTCATTTGCTAATAAGATGTATTTTTATCTAAATTACAGGACAATCGAGGCTTTGAAAAATGGAACCCAGGCAGTGATTTCAGATGGTGAAGTCAAGGTAATGTTTAATTATAATAAATTAAGACTCTAAAATTGGACATAGGATAATGCAATCTCTTGTTATCTGTGGTAATGTTGCTTATTTTTAACTCTTGTCTCTACTCAGACTGTGTATAAGGATCTCTGCAGTGGTAGAGTGAAGTCTGGCCTCATGTATCTGTGGCACAATCCAGGTGTCTCGCTTAAATTAAAGCAAAGACTAAAGCCACCGATGTTCCACTTTGCTGATGCACAGGTAAATGTATACTGACTTACAATAAGCTGCATCACATTTATTTATGTGGATGCGTGGTCAGTGGGCCACCTGGGTCCGTTGTCTAATGCTGAGAGGAACGTTTTGTTCATTTTTATGTTAACGTGTTTTATAGGTTGATGAGCTGACGGAGCGGATTGGTTCATGCTCAGGAATAGATAAACTAATAAACAAGGGAGAGTTCCAGTTTCTGGACTTGGTGTTTGATGTCCTTGTTCCAGAGGTACAAAGCAGTCTTCAGCAGTGATTAGTATAAAAGTTACTTTTCGACATTTGACAGTGTATGAAGTAATCCTTAACAGAGTTTGGTGGCAGGAGAATCTCGTCTCTACTTTTTGCGGATGATGTGGTCCTCCTAGCTTCACCCAGCTCTGACCTTCAGCTCTTGCTGGGTAGGTTCGCGGCCGAGTGTGAAGCGGCTGGGATGAGGGTCAGCACCTCCAAATCTGAGACCATGGTTCTCGACCGGAAAAGGGTGGCTTGCCAACTCCGGGTCGGGGGAGAGGTCCTACCTCAAGTGGAGGAGTTTAAGTATCTCGGGGTCTTGTTCACGAGTGAGGGTAGGAGGGATCGGGAGATCGACAGGCGGAATGGTTTAGCGTCTGCAGTGATGCGGACGCTGAACTAATCTGTCGTGGTAAAGAGGGAGCTGAGCCGGAAAGCCAGGCTCTCGATTTACCGGTCGATCTACGTCCCAATCCTCACCTATGGTCATGAGCTTTGGGTAATGACCGAAAGAACGAGATCGCGGATACAAGCGGCCAAAATGAGTTTCCTCCGTAGGGTGTCCGGGCTCAGCCTTGGAGATAGGGTGAGGAGCTCGGACATCCGGGAGGGACTTGGAGTAGAACCGCTGCTCCTCTGGATCGAAAGGAGTTAGTTGAGGTGGTTTGGGCATCTGGTCAGGATGCCTCCTGGACGCCTCCCCGGGGAGGTGTTTCGGGCATGTCCTGCCGGCAGGAGGCCCCCGGGTCGACCCAGGACACGTTGGAGAGGTTACATCTCCAATCTGGTCCGGGAACGCCTTGGGGTCCTGCCGGAGGAGCTGGTGGAGGTGGCCGGGGAGAGGACGGTCTGGAGCTCCCTAGTTGGGATGCTGCCCCCGCGACCCGGACCCGGACAAGCGGAGGAAGACGGCGACGTTGAAGTAATCCTGCATGTTTTTCAGGTAACAATAAAAGTGTTGGAAAAATGGGAGGGGATGAATCGATATGCAGCTGAGAAAGCCATGCTTCAGCAAATTCATTTGTACCCAAAATAAAATGGTTGTGAAATCAAGTGTTTCTTTGGTTTTATTGTCTTTCACTCAAAATAAATACCAACTAGCTAAATAGTTATCAGCTGTAGTAGTTAAATTCTGTTGCAATGAGCTGCTGTGATACACATAGAGGACAGTGTTATGGATATTTAATAACTAATTTTTGTTGCTGGTGAGAGAGGACTGTTGCTGAAATGTTTTTCACTGCTTCTGGGAGTCCTGTACTTTAGCAATTGGTGTAGGTCAAAAGTTCATCTTGGCCTTAACAATAAAACTGAATATTTAGCCAGTACTATTTTGTTTGCACATTTTGAAAAGTCTTAGTTTAACGTGTTCTCATTTTATCCATATGTTTTTTTAATTCACTTTACAGCCTTTTATTGTGTGTGTGTATATATACATATATGTGTGTGTGTATATATATATATATATATATGTATATGTATGTATGTATGTGCTATTGTCATAAAAATTCCCTGTCTGAAGAACAAAGGGATTTAATATTCAATTTTCATGCAACGCAGGTAACAACGTTACTTAAGTTTGCCAGTCCAGATCTGAAGAGAAAAAAAAATCCGAAATAAAAAGCTTTTTCCGGTAAGTTTTGTTTTTTAAAAAACTATTTCCAGTGAAAGTAATGACTTCTGGTTAAGGTAATGACCCACCGTGTAATTTTTCTCTTAAATGTGTACAAATCGAAGAGAAAAACGACACGGTATGGTTTTGACAAATCCAAACTACTTTTGTGCTTTGTCAATAAAGCGTATTCAAGAAAAAAAAACTACTTCCGGCAAAGGTAATGACCCGAAAAAAAAACTACTTCCGGCAAAGGTAATGACTTCCGGCGAAGGTAATGACACTTGTTTTTCCGGATACGTCATTTCCTGTCACGGCAAAGACGCCAGCTGATGTCTGCAGCCAGATGCTCTTGGATGCTCTTGGATCTAAATCGCGGAAGTAACATGCAGTGCCAAAGTCCAACAGAGAGGGCGCAGCTGGCAGTAGTTTGTATACAGCCTGCCTGAGCCTCCACCACTGAAGAAGAAGCCCTTGAGCAGCCGGCTTCTTCTACACACTGCCTGAAACGCATGAGTGAAGATGGACATAAGGACGTTTTTTAGACAAAAAGTACAACAACAGAACCCCAGCTTTGATGAGACTGTTGTTGACTCAGGTTTGTGAGTCTTATTTGAAAATATTTGTTGTGCTGCTGGTTTGCCTAAAGTTAGCTTACTATCAGGTAAAGTTGTTGGAGAAAGAAAGGGAATATTTACAATCATCTCACACTAAACACTAACAGGAATAATACTCTGCCCTGAATATGCTTAATATGTAGCTTCAGATTAAACATTATGTGGTACAAGATATATATATATATATATATATATATATATATATATATATATATATATAATGTATGATGTTGACTAGTGCGTGTCACGTGTGTGCGCGTGCACGTGCGCGCGCGTGTGTTAAGCCCCGGATCTTCTTCAGTCCTAAATCCGCCCCTGGTTAGAACTGAACCTGAATCCTTTGGTTTCCCTGAGGGTTGAACCCATCAGTAAACCAACCGCATAGAGAGCAAAATCACGGCTAATAAAGCTAAGATTGTTTCTCTTCCCCATCAGAACTACATCAAACCGAACCAGGGATTTCACTCAACAGCAGATTTACACAGACTCTGAATACTTTCCCAACAGATCAACCCTCATCACATAGAATCTGACCGATAAAACAGAATGAGCTGCATTTTAATGAGCACCCATCAGAGAAGCTAGCTCCATTAGCTCGTGGCTAACACCGGCCTGATTCACTTCAGGGAGCTAGAACACTTTATCCTTCGAACAGATTTTTCTCCAGCCGTCACAAAAAGCCCCATCCAAAACGAGAAACACAGAAGAACCGGACGGTCCGCTGCAACCATCTCGGGGCTGCTGCTGATCGCTAAGGGCAGCGGTTTTAGCCCCGCCTGTTAGCTAACTGCTAGCAGCAACACCTGCTCCTACACCTGGACAGATGAGCGGAGGAACTCATACCTGTGGTCGTTTAGCTCATCATTGCAGGTGTTTGTTGTCAGTCCGATATAGCGCAGCTTTGATCCAGCAGCTTCCAGGAGAACCGTTAGCTCCGCTGTTTTGCCTTTAGCTCCTCTGCTGCAGAGGCAACACCGAGATCACGTGACCAGAGCGGAGCCTGTGCATCAGAAAGCTGCATGAAGGTACCCAGTGGTGTGTTCGGCACAAAGCAATGAAAGAAAATTATACACTACTGCAGGTGTGACAAGAACGTTGTGTGTGTGTGTGTGTGTGTGTGTGTGTGTGTGTGTGTGTGTGTGTGTGTGTGCAAAAAAAAAAGAATAAAAACTGCTATGTGACCCCGAGCCAAACTAAATCTGATTTGATCTTCAGAGAGAAGATGCCACTTCAGTTTGAACTGCAGTGTCCTGATGAAAAATCAATCAGAAATGTCCACAAGGCGTGCTGATGCTCCACCTGACAAACAGGTCCAAGTTGGACGAGAACCAAACTGAAGTTCCAGCATCATCTCCTGGTGCAGTGCAGATTGGAGTCATGTCGTTTATCCATCTAAGTCATCTGCTTACCATCGGGGGGGGGGGGGGGGGGGGGGGTCTGGGTTACAGAAGGATGTGAGGATGCTTACATCCACATCTGTGGTTGTTCTCCAAGATGTCTGGAACAATTTACCAGCCCAGTTCCTTCAACAGCTGTATATTACAGTGTTCAATAAGAATCGGTGCTGTTTTGAAGGCAGAGGGTGGTCACACCGGATATTGATTTGATCTAGATTTTTCTTTTGTTGATTGATTAATACTTCCATTTCTGAAAGCATTATTTGTTTAAAGCATTTTTTATACCTGTCTGAAACTTTTGCACATATAAATGATACATAACGTAAACAAATACATGTTTTCTGGAGTAATGATATGAAAATGTCTTTGTTGTGGCAGCAGTATGAAACAGGATTTATTGCACTGATGATGATTTTTGCAATAATGGCTTTCAGGAGAGTTTGATTTGACCTGGTAGCTGTGGGGAAGAAGCTGTCCCTCAGTCTGCTGGTTTTTGCTTTTCACATTAAGACTTTGTTTTGTAATGAGCTAGCTTTAATAATTAAGCCCCAGGTTATTCTGAGGAAGTAATGCCTCTAATGAGCTCTCGTGAGGGGTTGGGTGATGCAGGTGAGGTCCAGACATGCATTGTGTCTCATGTAAAGCTAGACAGGTTTGTAACATTAGTATTTGTTTCATATTATGTTGTGTTGAGTTTCTATTCAGCATTTTATTTTAGTTTAATCTTTAACTGTAGAAATTGTTCATCTGGTGACCCATCTTTAAACTAGGGTTTAGTCAGCCCTGATTGTCTGCTGTCAACATTGATCAGTTTGTAAAAAAAAAAAAAGGAAAACATTTTAATGCGGCAAACAAAAATTTCTACTCTGGAAATTACAACGCTACAGCTCTATGCCTCTACCTGTAGAAACTCTGATCTGTGATTACTTCAGCAACCGTACATTTTCCTCATTTCTAATTTTTACAATAAAACAGTAAATAAAAGGGGAAACGCCCACACTCATCCTCATTTACACACACGAGCAGGGCTGATTCCCAAACTAAGCGTGCCTTTCTTCCAAAGTGTTGATGTCATTGTAAGACTGAGCATCTTTAAGCAATGAAGTTTGCAAACTTTTATCAATGCAAATGAGAGAAATGGCTGCAGAGTCGGTGGAAATAATATCGTTATTGTTGTGTTACCTGGTCTCCTTATGCTGCTGCTGTAGGTTTTCTACTAACACTGAGACACAGCTGTTTAGGTCCAGCGAACTTTCCGCTCCAACTCTTCAACCCAACAGTAACACACACGTGACGCTAGTGCCCCCTAGTGACCACCGTCATAACAGCATGTACATTACACCATTACACCACATCCTTCTTCCAGAATAAACTTGCTTAGAATAACTTCAGTTTATAACCATCCATTAACTTCCTTAAGCGTTAACTCACATGTGTATTTTCTGCAGTCATTGTGTTCCATTACATTCTCTTATCAACTGCATTTTACTAGTTCACTTCCTATAATTCCTCTCACAGTTTACCTTTTTTTTTGTTTCTTTAACATAACTAAGCAAACTTGCAGAACATATATCTGATAAATGTCCGCTCACTCGTCAAACCGCCTGGCCACTGCGTGTATAACAAGTTGGCACACGTTCCCCAGCTGCAGGAGGAGGGACATTTTGTTCCCTAGGTGGCTCATCGGGGAAATGTTCTTCTGGGTCAGACTGTTCATCCTCAGGAACCTCCTTGAACAAACTGGGGTGGATATTCCTCAAGTGTCTCCTGTTTCTCCTGAGCTTCTTTCCTTCTGGGGTTTGAACCATGTAGGATCTCGGTTCCTTCCTATGGTGGACAACAATTGCTGGTTCCCATCCCCGCTGTGTGTGCATGTGCACTGTGTCACCTGGGGACAACACTGGCAGTGCTTTTGCACGTTTATCAAAGTGTTGTTTCTGGCGTAACTGCATGTCTCTTATTTTGTCATGGATGCTGTGTGGGGATGATGGGTGGAGCACAGCACTGGAACATGGCAGTGTGCTGCGGAGGACTCTTCCCATCAACATTTGTGCAGGTGACATGTTCAGTCCTGTAATCGGTGTACTCCTCAGAGACAGCAGTACCAGATGTGGGTCTGTACCAGTTTGCAATGCTTTCTTCAGAGCATGTTTGACCGTCTTTATGGCTCTCTCAGCCATCCCATTTGAGGATGGAAAACCTGGGCTGGAGAAAGTCAGCTTTATTTCCCACTTCGTTGCAAATGATTTCATCTCATGACTCGCAAAAGGAACGTGATCACTCACAATCTCCTTGGGGATCCCATGTCTCGCAAATACAGATTTCATTGCGGCTGCAATGGACTGGCTCTCTGTCCAGGGTGTACCCCGCCTGATTGCCCGTTGACCGCTGGAGATAGGCGGTGGTGGGGGGTTATGACACGTCTCACCTTTATGTTAATTAATGCTTTATTTGATGCACTCAACTTTGAACAGCACCAATCCAGCAACTGCCGCATTTTAATAACTAGTATTAAAGGTGAATACACCAATATTTGCACAAGAATAATTTCTGTTTTAAACTCTCAGTGACACACTTTGCAGGGGGGTTGGTGTTTAATTTTTCTTGGCGTCTGGACAAACATCTCCTTTTGCCCCCCCCCCCCCCCCCCCCCCTATTTGACTTTCTGCCCCTGTCATGAGTCGGGGTGAGTACTCTTCACTTCATTCACAACCTCTGAGCTCTGATTGCAGGCGAGGGAGCAACAGCTGTTCCTCATCAGCGGGCCGGCTAATATGCAGTAAATATACTCAATACTTGAATGCCTGACATCACACTTGCTCAGGGTAACCTTTGACCCACCTCGTGTGGACTGACCAATGAGAAGAGGGTCTTAACTTGAGGCCCTCTCTTCATTGGTCAGTCTGCATGAGACTGACTCTCAACTGACGTTCAAAGTCATAGGCAGCGAAGCGTCTCTGTGCAGCGCAAATATAAATATTATGTATAAATGTTACATGTGTGTAACTTATTGTTTTATACAGGTAAAAACGTGTAGTGGAGATTAATCTACCTACATTTTACTTTGTTTTCTTGTTTTTATTTAACTATTTTCCTGTCAGGGAGGACATGAGGCTGCAGAGGGAGGCAGAGCAGCAGAGGGCACAGGAGAGAAGGGATACTTTTGACAGGCTTTTTACTTTGCTAGAAAAAAATGGTTAAAGATTAAACATGTACATATAAAAGAAATATCTAAATAAAATCAGTTCTGCATTAAACTCTTGAATTTTATTTTGGTTCACAAATGAGAATTGTTTACTAGAGGGTATCCCGCTGGGTCTTAAAGAGCAAGTCACCCCAAAATCAACTTTTTTTTGCTGATAAACTACATAAATGCGTGTCTAATCGTGCTGCAGACACGTGTAGTCAATAATTTGGTACTTCAGTGCATCTAAGTTAAAATTTAAATATTCTGCCTAAAACTGTCAGTGTTGTGCCGTCGTCAGGTAAAAACTCAGCACTGCTTTTGAATTTAAATCTGCCACTGCTATTGGCTAAGGGGTATGCTATGATGTAAACTGGTCCTTATGATGTCACAATGTCATTGTGAGCCTGTGTGTGTGTGTGTGTGTGTGTTTGCGTCTCCGCCCTCTCGGTCTGCCAGGCAACAGCATTTGTTGCATTTTTCAAACGTGAAGAGGGAGTTGAGTAAGAATCTGGCAGGGGTTGACTTGCTCTTTAAAGTCTTAAAAGGTGATAAATCGGTTTTGGTAAAACTAAGACCCTTAGAAAGTATTAAAAACTATTATCACATCTTTGCTCAGGCTTAGTTTGTCGAAAGTATTTTCTCCGAATTAGCTCTCCAACAGTCAAGGAAATGATTAAAGATCTAAATAAAACTTCGAGCTCCATCGTTTAAAGTTCCTTCTCCCTTCTGCTCAGCGGTTCCACGGTTGCTAGGCGACGGAACGTTCGCCGAGGGAGAGGCGGGAATTCATGAAGGCCAGGCCTGTCCAAATTCACAGCCGTTAACATCCAGTCTACCCGGCCGACGGAGGACCCAGCCCACGTCGGCCGAGTAGGCTGGGTCCTTCGAAGGATGCAGACCCTGAATTGAGACTCAGTTTAATTCTTCAGTCACCACTAGGCGTCACTGACGCTTCTATGGGCTCGAGTTTCAAAACAGATCATGGAAAGGTGCCCTCTCATTTGCTCAACGCAGAATGACGACATGAACATTCCACCAATCAGACAACGAGTGACGCCGCGTAGATTTGAAAGCAGCGATGGCGGCTGTTCGGTCGTAAGTTTTCTAAAGAGATGTTTCATTTAGTCCTGATTCTGTGTTTTGTGGTTAGAAAGTAAAGTTTGAACAAAAGGCAGCTGTTGGAGACATTGATGTTGAAACTGGAGTTTTGTGTTTCATAATGAACAGAACCGGTGACTCGGTTCTGCTGGAGCCGTGTGGAGATTCTGATCCGGACCTAGAGGAGGCAGCCGGGATGGTCCTCTTCCTGTCGGTCAGTCCAAACATCAGATACAGAATCTATCACAACATCAGACTTGTTAAAACATTTCTATTTTTCTCCAAATGTATAGTTCATGCAGTCCTAGCTAAACGTGTGTGTGTGTGTGTGTGTGTGTGTGTGTGTGTGTGTGTGTGTGTGTGTGTGTGTGTGTGTGTGTGTGTGTGTGTGTGTGTGTGTGGACAGGACAGTCGCCGTGTGCAGAAGGTTTTGTGGCGCCAGCTGTTTGTTCTGGACTCTATGATGTCCTTGCTGGAAGGTCTGGAGTGCGTCCAGCAGCTGATGGCTCAGCCCTGTCCCTCACTGCCAGGTAATGTAAATAAATAGTGATCAAAGTTTTTCTGTCTTTTCAACCTGGTTCTGTTGGACAGCTTTTAACTCTGATGTCAGAACGAGGTGTTCAATATGATCATTATTTTGTTCTGTAAGACAAATCCAGAAGGAAGCCAAGTGGTCAGTCACATGTGTGTGTGTGTGTGTGTGTGTGTGTGTGTGTGTGTTTATGTCAGAGGGTGTGGCACGGCGCAGGTGGAAGGCTCTAAAGGGGGAGGACAGGTCGGAGTTGGAGGAGACAGAGATGTTGCTCAGATGTCTGCAGGACCAAGCCCACAACATCCACGACAGAAAACAGAAACTCGCACATCTGGTTCAACAGCTGCACGGCAGGGTGAGGAAACAGGCATGCATCAGTGGGGGGCCGTGAGCTCGAGTCATGGTTCGGCTGAAGGTTTAATTTCAGGGACCCAGTTTTCTGTCGCTGAAAACCCAATAAGATGTGTTGAGATGTTGCTGATGAGCTTCTGGTTTAAATCAGGAGATATTTGCTTATCGAAGGTCTTGTGGAAGGTTAAAGGTCAACAGTCTTGTCCTCTCACTTTATTTCCTACAGAAGCAGCAATGCGAGCAGCACGAGACGTTGCTGCATAAGGCCCAGAAGGCACTTTTGTCATGTGACCAGCAGCTGAAGCAGCTGAAGAAGGAGGCGGGGGCAGTGATCAGTCAGCTGATCACCTGGCAGTCCCTCAGAGACGAGTGAGAGTCATGAAGTCTTGTGACCTCCGTTCAGGCACTGACTGGTGGATAACGCTGCTTCTCCTCACCTACCAGGCTGCAGGGTTGTGTTGCTGCTATGCTGGACTTCATGCAGATTAACCTACTCGCCTTCAACCAATCAGAGCTCTCTGTGGAGATTAGGCCACGCCTCTGCTCTATTCTGTCATCCAATAAGCTCGAGTCACTGAAGCTTTCAGTCACCTGGGACCACGCTGACCAGTTCAGACTGCAGGTAAGACTGTCTATTTTCTCTAAATCAGATGATTTCTTTGTAGAGTTCCAGAAGCTCTCTGAATGAGGTGACTGAATCTAATCAATCCGATTTATAAAAATAAATAATTAAATCAACTTCTGTTGAAGTTGACCTGGTTTGAATTCCCAACCATTCTTAGCAGGTCTTCTCACGTTCCTGGTCTGGCGATCAGAAGTGTCTGATGTGTAAGTATGCCTGCAGGTGGATGAAGGGACGGTCGGCCTGGTGGAGGGCTGCTTGTCGGGCCGGTGGGCCGAGTTCAGCACTACCCTGCTGGAGGTCATACAGTGCTACGTCTGTCAGGCTGAGCTGCTGTCTGAGGTCCAGGCCCTGAGGTCCAGGTGAGGCCTCAAACCCTGATGTCACATTTATCAAATATCTGAGGTGGAACACACTAGAGCTGAACAATGATTCAATAACGATATTTATCGATCGATAGACATGTGGTTCAATAGGAATAAAATGGATAATAAAAGTTTCCTTTTTCCATTATAGCCTCTTTGGTACCTTAATACTAGAGTCATTCCTTACACCGACCCAGGCAGGCTTCATCACCAAGCCCTCCCCTCACACACCTGAACAGTCATAAATGTGACTGAAACAAGAGGTCGTAGCAAGGAGAGGTGGAAGAGACTGTCCTGAAAAAAGGTTTCAGTACTTCACCAGTGTGGCAATATTTTCATTCTCACAAGTCTGACAAGAACAAACGACGGTGGTTTGAAACGTTAGCAGAGAATCAATAAAAACTACGTCTGATAACACAACCAACCAGTTTTATCATAAAGTCATTACATAAAACGGCCACAGCTGCACGCCAAAATATATTATCTACATTTTTCATATAGTTTTAAATAATTATTCCTATCGATGAATATGATTTTTTTTAATCGATAAACTTCTTCTCTCAACCGTCCCGCCCTAGAACAAACTCTTTAGAGTAAAACATTTGGAGGTTTCTGTGTTGCAGCTTTGCCATCGACTGGCGTCCCTCCCAACGTCTGCTGGTCTACCTGAAGACCTCGTCACTGGTGTGTCACCTAAAGGTGGAGGAGGGGTACCCACACAGCGGGCGAGCCCAGCTGCTGTCAGTACGACGTGATGGGCAGCCGGTGGACACGTCAGAACTCAAGGTATACGTTTCAGAAAGCCTCATGTACGAAGAGCGGACCCATTAAACCAGGGTGTCCCCGTTTCCTCCACGTTTCATATCTGCCTCACCTTCAGGTCTGTCTCAAGCAGTGGGCGTACTGGAAAACTGCTGATGTAGAACCAGTTCTCACATCTCATCCGTGTGTTGCATGAGAGGATATCTGTCATAAACTAAGTAGAGCAGAACGTCCGTTTAACAGAAGCAGCTTTGCTTGCAGTGGAAGATGTTCAGATGGAGATGTGTGAGAGAGTCTGGATTTGGAGACCCAGAGGATGTTCTGGACCAACATGAGACAAACTCTGCAGCTGTTGTAGTCTGAGAGTTTAGTGCTCCTCTACCTGACCTAAACATGTCTCCATTGTGTAATGATTCACCGTGGTCCCGCATGTATAGACGTGATTGTTAATCATACAGAGAGGAGACTCACGCCTACAGGACATATGACCTTTTATGTAAGTGGAGATGTGTCAGGAGGAGGAGTCTGGGTTACCCTCACCAGCAGCAGTTCTGTTCATCAGGACGCACAAAGGAAATGCGCTTGGATTCATGCATGCATTCAGACTGAGATATCTGGATCCGTTTGTGCGTATGCAGTTGTCTTTCAGTAGAGAATCCATGAAGGTTCATGAAGGCTCAGGTTCTGGTCTGATGTGGTTTTCTAATTCCAGTCATCAACAGGCATCTGGAAACAATCTGATGTGGAACTCAGTCCAGGAACATTTATCATCCATACGGTTCTGGAACAGTTTGGGGATGTGGTGGCAGAGACCAACATCCTGAACTGTTTATTTATGGACTTGATGACGTTTTTTCTGTAGTTTTTGCCATATTTTTGTTTTTTGTAACATTAGAAGATCTAGCGTTTCAGATCAGTGACCTAACTAGCCTCTGTTTGTGTTTCAGCCTCGTAAAGCTGACCTCAGTCTGACCGAATGGTTGGTTTTCCTCTGCAGCAGTCCGCTCATCTGATGACTCAGCGTCCCTCATCCTTCACGTTTAATATATCTGTATTATTCACATTTACCTGGTCTTTAACCCGTTTATCTTTATTTCTTTATTTCTTCCTTTTTCTAAATATTTAGAAGCAGCCATCTTTTGCTTTTGTATTAAAACACTTGATGACAGTGAAAAAGCTGTTTATTCACATGAATGAAGTTTTATCATTTCCACAAAAATGTATTTTACTTATAATTAAAAATATATACTTTAGTGTGATGTAATCAGTTCTAAAGAAACTTGGGAAAAATCTGAACAATTCAATTAGAATCTGACACCAGGATAAAAATAAATGTTTTTATGCTTTTATTGTGGGAACATGAAGCTAGTTATTTTGGCAATCATTTAAAACGAAGACATAATAAAAGTTTATAAAATGGATTTACGTTGAGTTCGTGGATTCCCAGCATGCACTGCTCACGCCTTCCTCCAAACCTGCTGAGTTGACACAGCTTGCAGGTATTCACTCTGAATGTTTCACTGACTGTTCACACGTTTGTGAACATTTTCATCATTTGTGATGAAGTTCTGTGGGGAGCCGAGTTTAAAAAAGCACAAAATGTTGAGGAAGGACTCGTTTACTGACCGGACTCTAACCCTGAAACCGAAGCAGTCGTCTCTGTATCCTAGCCTCTAATTGGCTGGTTCAGTGTGAGGTCTGAGACAGCTGACCAATCAGAGCAGACATAAGTTGCTTACAAGGCTGCAAGTTGACCCATTTCTGGTTTGACCCGCTGAATTCTGCAGCTGTAGAACCACAAGCATAAAGACTTCCTAATCAGCTTTTAGCTTCGCCTCAAAAACCACCGAGTGTTCCTAAATCATAAAAAGTTTCCATTTGATATAAAAGTGGTTTATGACATAAAACAGCAGGCCTGTGCTGAGAAAACAACTTGGCTATATTTCAGGTAAAGAAGTTAATGTGAGTTTGTGTTGAAACTTAAAGCAACACCAGAGTCTCTTCGGTGTGAATTTATAGATTTACATAAAATAACTTTAAAACAAACTACAGATTTTATCCAAAAGAACACCTGTTGCACACACACACACCTGTATAGAATCATGTTTTGTTCAGACTTTAGAGGTTATTTAGAACGGATATTTAATTATTTACAGTTTTTACACAGAAGATCTGCTGCATAACTTTAGCTGGAGGTTTCTCTCCGAGTCCTGCCTCCTTCGGCACCTCATTGGTCCATAAAGCTGTCCGTCACAGCCGCTCAGCTTCTGATGTCGACATGATGGAGATACAACGCTCAGAGTCTACAGGGAAGATCTGGACCTTCTTCCTGGAGCACTTTGTACTGGAAGAAACTGAGATTTGCAGATAAGCCCAAAGAGCTAAAGCGGACCCGAACCCTGCTGATGACATCTACGCTCTCGTGGTTGAAATGTGCTCATATATGTGTGTAAATGGGTAAAATGAGAGGAACTCTGAAGCTTGGTTTGCTAGTGCTGCTCACGGAGTTCAGTCATGTTAACGACATCAAAGATACCTGCTTTGGGGAGCTTATGAATGTGTTTGATGTCGGCAGGATGCTGCTGGAGATCAAATCTGAAAGGATGTCACAGGAATCTCCTCAGGAAGTCACTCTGAATCAATGTTGGAGTTCAGGTATCATAGAGGGACTTTTCCGTCGTGCTGTTTGAGGAGAAGCTGTGACCCCACTTCATCACATCTCCTTGAGGTGACAGGAAATACGTGATGTAAAGTTCAGGCATCGATGCGGAAGGACAGCAGCTTCTCAGAGTGCATGTTGTTGAGCGAGCGCAGGTCGGGCAGCCTCAGGAGCAGTCTGGTGAAACGCGGCGAGTCCAGATTCTGATGGCCTGGATCAGTGGAAGCGGTTGACTTGTTGACCAGACGCCGAAGCGCTCGGATCAGGTTCTCCTGCAGCTCCTCCACAGATGCCACGTTCTCAATCCCGGAGCGGTCTGAGGAGACGCAAACAGAGCTGAATGAGTTACAAGCCAAAGATCAAACAGCATCAGCATTAGGCCAAACCATCAGTAACAACTTGACCTTTAAGTAGATGTCAAACCAGTGCTGATGGATGATAAAACAACCACAATATTTCATTAAGGAAAGAAAATGACACTAATGGAGTCCGACAGACCAGAGGCTCCAGCACCCACCACACTTAACACCAAGCAGCATTTACAGCAAATCGATTTCAGAGGACAACTTATTGGTAAGCTGTGTTGGAGTGCAGTGGACTGGAACTCTGCCGATCAGAGCACAGAGAAGGGAGCTACTGCTAGCTTCACTTTAAGCTAAAGTCTTCATGAAAGCACAGAAGAGAGATGGACTCAGAGCCTGCATGTGCAGAAAAAGATGTTCTGCCATCAAAACAATAAAGAGACAATCAGGCAAAGTATCACAGCAAAATATTAAACTACTGTATGTACTGATGCTGAGCATTTCACAGTGGACGTCCAGAAAAAACGCCCTGGTAGGTTCGAGTGGAGACATTGAAACAACTGATGAAGCTCCTTGGGTGTGAAGTGAAATATCTTCAGAAGTCCAGTTGTTTCCACTCAAACCTTCTAGGATTACTGGGTGAATGAGAATCTTCACCAGCACGAGTCAACAAAACAAAAAAGGACAAACTGCAAACTAACGAGCTGCTAAACAAAAGATCTCCTAATTGATGATCTAAATGATGTCTAGGTGCTAACTGACTCGCTGCTAGGTGATTATCTCATCACTAAGTGCGTTGAGCCCAGGTGCTGACCTGCAGACACCAGCACCATGGCGGTAAACAGTCCCAGTTCCTCGGCGTTCAGATCCAGAGAATGCAGCTTCTGGCTGAAATCAAACATGGCTCCCAGCAGCTCGCTCATCCCCATCTTTCGCAGCTCCTCTAGACTGTAGGTCGCACCGGAGACAAAGGTCACAGTTTGATCCTTCACGTTGAACAGTGATGAGAAACGCACCATCAGCACCTTGGGAGGAAGAAGACATTACCCAGTCAATGTCACAGCTCCAGAATAATAAAATAACTTATTTAGGAACATTTACACAAACATCTGCTTATTCAAACAGATTTCTATAGTTGTTTGTGTGGAACTAAGTGGCTATTTGCAGTTTACAGTCACAGCAAAGACTGCTGGACTGTAGAAAAGATGAGCAACTGATAAACGATGTGTGGATTTTAAAAACCTTTTGGAAACAGGAACCTGGGATCTAGCTGGAGGCTAAAAGCTGCTATTTTGTTGTGTTTCTGATTTAAGAACAAACCACTCATTAGCTTATGTGTTACTGTTACATTAGCTAGCATATCATCTTCTAGCTGATCCCGTTGTTATCCCTGTGGGGTGTTTAGCTGGACCCTGCTGCTACTGCTGTCTTCATTAGAACAAACACACTCATGAGCAGTGTGGGGAAAGTTACTTTTAAAAAGTAATTAGTTATAGTTACTAATTACTTTGTCAAAAAAGCAACTCAGTTACTGAGTTACGAGTTTATAAAAGTAACTAATTACCAAGAAAAATAACTACTTAGTTACTTTTTTCATTAAAGAATGCAAGAAAAATGGGTGAATTGAACTTAATTTACTATAAAGTACTACAATAGTGAAATATAAATGACTAATGACAGGAACATAATAAAATGTCCAAATGTTTTTATAAACCTGAATAATTTAAATAAATAAGCACTTAACAGGAGGAACTACTAACAGGAACATTACACTAATCTAGACTATTAAAAGGTCACTGTGTGATATTTAACAAGACCCCAATCAGCTAAAATTTAAAATAGCAAATAGAAACACCTGTAAAGGTTCCCGAGCCTTTAAATGGTCTCCCAGTCTAGTTAAATTACCTAAATGAATGTAATTTTGTACAGTATTTTAATTTATCCAGCTTCACATAACTGTGTGTTATTAGCAGCATTTCTGTTGCTGCTAATCTAGTAACGGTTAAATAAATAAATAAAATCCTTTAAAATGACACTAGAAGAGGCACGAGCCTGATGGAGGACTTACATTTACTAACGTGGGTCAGACCCAACCACAGAAGAGCTGAAGCTGGGTGGTGAACACACACAGGTAGTTCTAATAACACCTGAGCTCCATGACGTCTGAGACTGATGCATCAGTGTTACAGCGGGACTAAAGACATGATCAGAAACAGGTTACAGCTGGATGATCTAGGAAATGGTAAATGGCCTGTATTTGATATAGTGCCTTCTAGAGTCCTGGAACCCCCCAAGGTGCTTTACAACACAATCAGTCATTCACCCATTCACACACACATTCACACACTGGTGGTGATGAGCTACGATGTAGCCACAGCTACTGACAGAGGCGAGGCTGCAGAGCACTGGCGTCACCGGTCCCTCCGACCACCACCAGCAGGCAACGTGGGTTAAATGTCTTGCCCAAGGACACAACGACAGCAACAGACTGAGCGGGACTTGAACCTGCAACCTTCTGATTACGGGGCGAGCACCTAACTCCTGTGCCACCGTCGCCCCACATAGGAAGGTAGAAGATCAGGACGTCTGAGCGGTGAACAGGTGAGCGGACCATCAGGACGTCCCGCTGTCACACTAAGAAGGGCACGGCTGCAGATCCACACCTGCAGCCGTAGATATTCATCACGTCTTCCTCGTTCTTCACGGCCGTGATGCTCTTGGATGGAAACATCTGCCTCTTTAGCTCCTGATCAGCTGATGACAGCTTCAACACACCGCGCTGCTTAACGCACACATTTCCTTATCAGTAACAGAAACAACGTTTTGTTAAAAGAAGACGGTATTTAGTTAGTTTGCTCGTTACTGAAGGAAATATTTTTTTATTAACGTGGTTATTTTAAACAGCGTTATTCCCATCACTGCTCTGTTGGGTCTACAGCAGCAGCGACTGAGACGGTGAGGGTCTCCTCCCACCCGGCCAATCATCATGGTGTTTGTAAGTGCGTTACCGACACCTCTCTCTCCCTGGCTGCAGCTGAAGTGCGGCGGTCAGAAAGCCTCACGCTGCTGCTCAACGTTCGAAAAGCACATAGTAACGCACAACCTGCCGTCCCCAGTAACGGTAACGGCGTTCCAACAGTGGGAAAAGTAATTAATTAGATTATTCTGTTACCTAAACAAGAACGCCGTTAGTAATGCCGTTATACTTAAACGGCGTTGCTCCCAACACTGGTCATGAGTTCATGTGTTTTGAAGCTATCGAACCTCGAAGGTGCCGGCCTTCAGCAGCGTGACCTGGTCATTCTGGGTTAGCGTGCTGAATCCTGGAATATGTTTGGCAAACTCCACCACCTCCCTGACGGCAGGTGTGAAGGACAGAGAGAAGTCCTCCCAGATCTCCTGGGGAGTCTTGTAGGGATCCGCGTGAGGCTGCGTGTTCATTGGACAGGCCTGTGGGGAGAGGAAATTCCAATCAGCCAATCAGACAAAGTGGAAGCTTCGTCCAACTGAAAGTTCTTATGAAAAAAACCAACGTGCACCAGCAGTGAGATGGTTCTGATAACAGCAGATTGGATCTTACCAGGACAATGCCGGGACGATTCCTCACTGATGGACAGTTCTGTGTCTGGGTCACATGATTGGTGACTCGTCCTCCATTCAGATGACAGTTATTTAGGCTCCACCTCCCATTGTTATGCTGGTTGTTGGTGACATTGTGATCCAATGACAGGTAACAGTCCCTAACAGAGTTGTTGTTCTGGTTGTTGCAGTTGTTGGAATGGTAACTGTTGGGGGAGTGGTTGGAAATAAGGTCCGCCTCCCCTTTACAGTGGTGGGCGTGGTTATTCTGCTGCTGAAGATGAGACTCTGGATTGTTCAGCTTGTCGTGTGCATACAGGAAGGTTTCACGGTGAGCGCGGGCAATAGTGCTAATAGTGGAGTCCATCTCAGGGCTGGGGGATGGCGAGGAGGAAAAGGGGGAGGGGCTCTGACATGATAAAGGAGGGAGAGGAGGAGTGGAAGAGGAGGCTGGAGCAGCTATGGAGGGAGCGGTTGGAGTGAGTTGGAGGGGCGTATCCTGGGGTGCGAAGACCCCTCCTGGGCTTGGAGAGGAAGAAGAGGAGGAGAGGCTGGCGTGCTGGAAGTCATTCTGCAGCTGGTTGTTCACCATGTTGTCCATGGCACTCTGCATCTCAGCCAGCATCCTTTGCTTCTCTCGCTTTGGGATCCGACCAAATCGAACGGCTGTGGACAGACAAAGGATACGGAGATCATGCTTGACGTCACACCTAACCAATAAAACGCTGCAGTCACCCAACAGCTGACTGGAGGGGCTCACCGTCACGACTCATGCCCACAGACAGGCACTTCTTGAAGCGGCACTGCTGGCAGCGGTTCCTGCTGATCCTCATAATGGTGCAGCTCTCATTCTTCACACACTTCTTATACTGGATATTCTGCTGGATGCTGCGCCGAAAGAAGCCCTGCGAGGGGTAACGAGAGGGGTTCAGCTCAGGACCTGTCCGTGTGGTCCGACTGTCCCACCTATACGGGCGGTGTGTGGGCTCATCTTGTCATGGTCTGCGTCTTCCTTCATGTGTCTCCTGATGTTCTCCATCCCTCTCTAGATTCCCTTCTGTGTCTCAAAGCGCCCTCATGTGTCTTTTGTCTGCGTCTCAGTTAAAGTTATGTTGTTACCCTTTTAATTCATTCCTCCCAGGTCAGCTCCAGCCTCTTTGTCCTCAGCTCTGTGTGTGTGTGTGTGTGTGTGTGTGTGTGCATCCTCCCCAACTCAGGGTGTGTATGTGTGTGTGCGTCCTCCCCAACTCAGGGTGTGTGTGTGTGTGTGTGTGTGTGTGTGTGTGTGTGTGCGTGCGCATCCTCCCCAACTCAGGGTGTGTGTGTGTGTGTGTGTGTGTGTGTGTGTGTGTGCATGTCCTGCCCCTGTTCGGTGTATGTAGGTGTGAGTTTATGTGTGTCAGTGTGTGTGTGTGAGTCCTTCCCTCAGTCTTTAGGTTTAGTTTTTGTGTTTTACGTTTATCTGTCCTCCTTTGGTTGTTTCCCCCATTTAGATAAATTATTGTCACCTGTCTTCCCCCCAGCCCTCACCCCACACACCTGCTGCCATTTCCCCTATTACCCCTCCCTGTGTATTTAAGCCCTGTCTTGTCTCTGTCTTGTGTCGGTCCATTGTGGTATTTCTGTCAAGCCTTCTCTAGTCTCTAGCTTTTTGAATCCCAGTCTTTTCTAGTCTTCAGTGTTTTGTCTCTAGCTTGGAAATTGGATATTTTTGGACTTATTGGCTCCCTGCCTTTGGATTTATTTTTGTTTGATCTCGGCTCATCCAAATAAAGGATATTTTCTTATATCTGCCTCGTGTCATCTTGGGTTCTGCATTTTGGGTCCTACCAACACCGTAACGTGACACATCTCACCTTACAGCCTTCACAGGCGTGAACTCCGTAGTGGAAACCTGAAGCCACGTCACCACAGACCTTACATAGCAGCACCATGCCATTCAGCTCTGAAACACAGCCAGAGATCAACATGACATCAACACATCGTCGTCATTTATGCCATTCGTGTCATGGCTTTTTGCTTCGTCACAAAACCCTGATGGAGATCCTGCTTCAGATCAGTTAGATTAAAGCAGAAATGCTTTAAGGATTGGACTGGTCTACCAAAAACCTGAACCAGGACCTGAGATAACCTTCAGTTAAAGTCATGTTTCCCTTCAAACTTTTACCCCCTGTGTTACTATATGTTTGATCAAAATGTCAAACTAAAATAAAGACCCAAGTTTCTGGATCCAAAGTTTTGTTTTGAACTGCTGACGCTATTATTTAAATAAGTAGAAACATTTAAACAAACCCAACAATCCCCTCAGATTGAACTTCAGGAAACATCAACACCTTTAGGACTTACTGGACACCGACTTGCTCGGAGACGCTCTCTGGGAGCTGTTGTCATCTCGGCCTCTAGGTGAGCCTCCTGCTGACGATGAGGCAGAGGAGGAGCCGTCGTCTGCTGCAGAGCTTGAACTGGAGTTGCTGCCGCTGAGGAAGGGGAGCACTGATGAGGAAGTGGAGTCAAAGCAGGGCTGGGAGTTGGAGTTCTCACTGTACATGGATACTGGGCTGGTTCTAGATGGAGAACCTCCACATGAGCCCACGTAGGAGATCACACCTCCTTCAGGAGAAGAAGAGAGTTTATTAAAGGAGCTGTTTGGGTTTACAGAACCAGCCAGCTGGACTCCTGGGTTCTGACTCCAATCACATTCCTAAACCCACCGGAACAATTCAGTTCCAGCTGAAACCATCAGCTAGCCTGGCCTGCCAGACTCGTCCTCTGTTTAGTTCTGCAGAGGCTAACCATCAGCAGCTGGACTCACGAACCCCAACAGCTCCGTGTTTACGAATTATTCTTCTCCAAACGACTATGACCACGTGGTTTTTATCTGCAGGTCACGATGTTTATGTGTAGACAATCAGAACCGTGTTCAGAAATGCATCTACCTACAGCTCCACTTAAGTAGTGTTACCATGGAAACCAAGCAGAGATGCATCAGGTGGAACTAATAAGCAATTCAAGGTTTATTGAAGACTTTGTGTGGTTTTATTGTGGCAGTAAAGTTTTCACATGATGACCGATTTAACCCTCAGAAACTTACTTCTATATTTTAATGGCTGCTCAGGAGAAACCCTCTCTGCTGCAGGAGGGCCAGGCCCAGAACCAGGTTCTGCTTAAGCTGCGGATCTGGGTTCACTACAAATTTCTCACATGGCTCTGCATGAGGGGGCGGAGCCAGCGGACAGTGTGGGCCTTGGGAGGGGGTAGATTGAATCTGTACCACTGTAACCATGACAACAGCTGCTTGTGTGTGTGTGAGGGTGGGGTGGGGAGGCTGTAGTAACCAGGAGCTGCATGAGCAAACTAGCACTGACGGATGAGAGCTCGGAGGCAGAAACTCACCAGCAGAACCTGAAATTGGTCCATTTTTGCAACTGAGAAGCCAGCTGTGTGAGCACACGTGTCAGAGGTGTATCCTTCTGTCTGACTGACGTGTGTGCACACACACATGCACACAATCACACATGTGCATCTCAGCGCTGTCCTGCATCTTAAACCCTGAAGCTGTTCCCATTTTTTTAAACAGCACGTGTGTCAGAGGAACATGTTCACGATAACGTACACACACACCTATGTGAGAGAATACTGCACTGTTTGCAGCACACACACACACACGCACGCACGCACGCACGCACGCACGCACGCACACGCACACACACACACACACACACACACACACACACACACACACACACACACACACACACACACACACACACACACACACACACACATTTTGTTGTTCCAATAAACTTTCAAATGACCATCACTGTTTGAGCATTTCTCTGTGCGCGGGAGCTGGATGTGAGTTTTTCTGAATGTCTGACGCTACACAAAAATCACAGAGAAAACAATGAATATTTTATTGCTCATTTGTGACTCTAGAGCCTTCTCAATTCCCCTCCAAAAGAAGTCCTCTGGACATAACACACAAGAAATTATTTAGGTTTAAATTTTTTTATAAAGTAGAGTTGTCGTCGTCGTCGTCGTCTTCCTCCGCTTATCCGGGTCCGGGTCGCGGGGGCAGCATCCCAACTAGGGAGCTCCAGGCCGTCCTCTCCCCGGCCTTGTCCACCAGCTCCTCCGGCAGGACCCCAAGGCGTTCCCGGACCAGATTGGAGATGTAACCTCTCCAACGTGTCCTGGGTCGACCCGGGGGCCTTCTGCCGGCAGGACATGCCCGAAACAACTCCCCGGGGAGGCGTCCAGGAGGCATCCTGACCAGATGCCCAAACCACCTCAACTGGCTCCTTTCGATCCGGAGGAGCAGCGGTTCTACTCCGAGTCCCTCCCGAATGTCCGAGCTCCTCACCCTTTCTCTAAGGCTGAGCCCGGCCACCCTACGGAGGAAACTCATTTCGGCCGCTTGTATCCACGATCTCGTTCTTTCGGTCATTACCCAAAGCTCATGACCATAGGTGAGGATTGGGACGTAGATCGACCGGTAAATCGAGAGCCTGGCTTTCTGGCTCAGCTCCCTCTTCCCCACGACAGATCGGCTCAGCGTCCGCATCACTGCAGACGCCGAACCAATCCGCCTGTCGATCTCCCGACCCCTCCTACCCTCACTCGTGAACAAGACCCCGAGATACTTAAACTCCTCCACTTGAGGTAGGACCTCTCCCCCGACCCGGAGGTGGCAAGCCACCCTTTTCCGGTCGAGAACCATGGTCTCAGATTTGGAGGTGCTGATCCTCACCCCAGCCGCTTCACATTCGGCCGCGAACCTACCCAGCAAGAGCTGAAGGTCAGAGCTGGATGAAGCTAGGAGGACCACATCATCCGCAAAAAGCAGAGACGAGATTCTCCTGCCACCAAACTCGACACACTCCACACCACGGCTGCGTCTAGAAATTCTGTCCATAAAAGTGATGAACAGAACCGGTGACAAAGGGCAGCCCTGGCGGAGTCCAACCCTCACTGGGAACAGGTCCGACTTACTACCGGCTATGCGGACCAAACTCACGCTCCTCTGGTAAAGGGACTGAATGGCCCTTAACAGAAAGCCACCCACCCCATACTCCTGGAGCGTCCCCCACAGGGTGCCCCTGCGGACACGGTCATAAGCCTTCACCAAATCCACAAAGCACATGTGGATTGGTTGGGCAAACTCCCATGCCCCCTCCATCACCCTTGCAAGGGTATAGAGCTGGTCCACAGTTCCACGGCCAGGACGAAAACCACATTGCTCCTCCTCTATCTGAGATTCAACTATCGATCGGACCCTCCTCTCCAGTACCTTGGAGTAGACCTTTCCAGGGAGGCTGAGGAGTGTGATCCCCCTATAGTTGGAACACACCCTCAGGTCACCCTTCTTAAAGATGGGGACCACCACCCCGGTCTGCCACTCCCTAGGAACTGCCCCCGATGACCACGCAATGTTGTAGAGACGTGTCAACCATGACAGCCCTACAACATCCATAGCCTTGAGATACCCAGGACAAACCTCATCCCCCCCGGGGCTCCGCCGCTGTGTAGTTGTTTGACTACCTCAGCAACTTCTGCCCCCGAGATCGGACAGTCCATCCCCAGGCCTCCCAGCTCTGGTTCCTCCTCGGAATGCGCATTGGTGGGATTGAGGAGCTCCTCAAAGTATTCCTTCCACCGTCCGACTATAGCCTCAGTTGACGTCAGCAGCTCCCCGTCCCCACTGTAAACAGTGTGAGCGAGTTGCTGCCTTCCTCTCCTGAGGCGCCGGACAGTTTGCCAGAACCTCTTTGGAGCCGATCGATAGTCTTTCTCCATGGCCTCACCAAACTCCTCCCACGCCCGAGATTTTGCCTCGGCAACTGCCACTGCTGCACCCCGCTTGGCTATCCGGTACCTGTCTGCTGCCTCCGGAGACCCACTGACCAGCCACGCCCTGTAGGCCTCCTTCTTCAGCTTGACGGCTCCCCGAACCTCTGGTGTCCACCAGCGGGTACGGGGGTTGCCACCACGACTGGCACCGGCCACCTTACGACCACAGCTAGCAACAGCCGCCTCGACAATCGCAGAGTGGAACAAGGCCCACTCGGACTCAATGTCCCCCACTGCTCTCGGGACGTGGTCAAAGCTCTGCCGGAGGTGGGAGTTGAAGACCGTCTTGACAGGTTCTTCTGCCAGGCGTTCCCAGCAGACTCTCACTATGCGTTTGGGTCTGCCAGGTCTACGCGGCATGTTCCCTTGCCATCTGATCCAACTCACCACCAGGTGGTGATCAGTTGACAGCTCCGCCCCTCTCTTCACTCGGGTGTCCAAAACATACGGCCGCAGGTCAGATGATACGACTACAAAATCTATCATCGACCTGTGACCTAGGCTGCCCTGGTACCAAGTGTACCGGTGGGCATCCTTATGTTCGAACATGGTGTTCGTTATGGCCAAACTGCGGCTTGCACAGAAGTCCAATAACAAAACACCGCTCGAGTTCAGATTAGGTGGGCCGTTCCTCCCAATCACACCCCTCCAGGTCAAGCTGTCATTGCCCACGTGAGCATTGAAGTCCCCCAGCAGGACAATGGAGTCCCCTGATGGAGCACTATCTAGCACTCGTCCCAGGGACTCCAAAAAGGGTGGGTACTCTGAACTGATATTTGGCCCATAAGCACAAACAACTGTCAGGACCCGTTCCCCGACCCGAAGGCGCAAGGAAGCTACCCTCTTGTCCCCCGGGGTAAACCCCAACACACAGGCAGAGAGTCTTGGGGCTAACAAAAAGCCAACCCCAGCCCTCCGCCTCTCACCCGGAGCAACTCCAGCAAAGTAGAGTGTCCAACCCCTCTCCAGGTCTCGGGTTCCAGAGCCAATGCAATGTGTCGAGGTGAGTCCGACTATATCTAGCCGGTACCGCTCAACCTCTGCCACAAGCTCCGGCTCCTTCCCCGCCAGCGAGGTGACGTTCCATGTCCCAAAAACTAGTTTTCTTGTCCGGGGATTGGACCGCCAAGGCTCCCGCCTTGGTCTGCCACCCGATTCGCATTGCACCGGACCCTTCATGTTCCTCCTGCGGGTGGTGGGTCCACAGTTGGACGAGCCCATGTATCCGGTTCGGGCTGGGCCCGGCCGGGCCCCATGGGCGAAAGCCCGGCCACCAGGCGCTCGCTCACGGGCCCCAACCCCAGGCCTGGCTCCAGGGTGGGACCCCGGTAACCCTCCGGGCCGGGTACTCCGACTCTTCGTTTTAACCGCCATGAAAGATCCTTCGAACCGTTCTTTGTCTCACCCTTCACCTAAGACCAATTTGTCATGGGAGACCCTACCAGGGGCACTAAGTGCCCCAGACAACATAGCTCCTAGGATCATTAGGGCACTCAAACTCCTCCACCACGATAAGGTGACGGTTCAAGGTGGAGTATAGAGTTGTTTTGGGCAAAACATGGCACTAAAGGGGTTAAATCGCAAAAACACTCAATTATTTTACTATTTTTGGTGAGGACTGAAGCTAAGGAAAAAATCTGTGAAACTGGTTTTGGACTTTTAAAATATTATATATTTTTATTATACATTTAGCTAAAATGCGTTGTTTTGTGCGAGGGTCCCCAGTGCAGCTTTTTTTTTTTAAGGAACCTCCAAGACTGTAAACAGACTATCTCTTTGTTGTGTTTCTCGTCCGTGACCTTTTTAGTTGTGTGTGTTTTTATGCACCTGAATCAAACTGGCCAACTCGTGTTTCTCTGCAGTGGTTTGAGTCAGTTTTTGTTGGTATCATGTAATTATCTTTGTCTTCTTTAGTTCATCTGTCTCTTCCTGGCTGCCTTTCATCATTCTGTGGCATCTGGGTTACTGTGTGTTTAACTGTGTCTGTTCTCAGGTGTAAATCAGAATCAGAAGACTGTAACACCACACATAGCCAGGCTGAACACCTGGGTCACTAACAGAACACATCTGGACAGGTGAACACCAAGTCTGGTGAAACAAGATAAGACACCGGGAGCCTAAATTAAATCAATTATTTTCATTGAGAAACTAAATATGGAAGATAAAGTTTTACAGAGTACACTGAGTTCTACCAGAGCTCCTGCTCTCTCCGTTCTCATACACGCGAGTGCTCACTCCCTGAGGCCACGTGCCTCCAACTCACAGACAGACTCACAACAAGATTGGCTGCTGAAAGCTCCGCCCACACCACACACACACACACACACACACACACACACACACACACACACACACACACACACACACACACACACACACACACACACACCCTTAAACCCCCCCCCCCCTCCTCACATTCCTGGTATTCACTTCCAAGACACACACGTACACACACAGATTGAAGGATACACGCGTCAGATCAAAACGTGAGTAAAAACAAGACTAACCCCAGTGGAAAAAATAACAAGAAAACAAATTTCCTGACATCTTCAGACTATAATGACCTTTATAATCTACTTTCTGTACAATCATAAAATCAAGAGAAACTGACCTAACAATTCTGTCCAGAAACCTGACCCGGTCTAGAGGTCCGGTAACCCGCTTGAATCCAGAGTCACATAGACCAACTCCGGGTGAGAAAGAAGTGTGGCTGCTGTTAGGGTCATTACATGGAAACTTTGACTTTTCATGTTTTACTCAACATGATTTCACCAAAGTGTGTGTTTCTCAGTAAACGTTATAAATACTGGAATATGCTGATGCAGGATGTTTTTATTTAATAACCACCATAGAAGGTCTGGTCAGAGACAGATTTAAATGTCAATAATATCCCATCAGAAATAGGCTAGAGCCTGTTGATTTTGATCTAAAAGACTTGATCATGATGTGCGTGGAGCCTTGAATACTCACAACTTATATTTCATCTTTATACTAAAGGGGCACGCCAGGAATTTTTAAAAATTAATTTATTTCAAATTAAAAACATCCTTGGTGTTCTGTCAGTCATTCACATTAATCTGCAGACATGTATCATTACTTTCAGACTGAATTCATTAGTTCCTGAATATTAGAGAATACTCTGATTACTCAAAGTCACAGATCTGACATGACCAAAACACTCACCCGTCCCTTACTGGTTCTAACGGGAACAACCCGTTGGGTCTGAATGAGCTCTGACACCATCACCCTTTTATTTGACCCACACAGCCCCGAGGCAGTAAACGCATCATTATGTCAGGAAACTCCGGCTTCTGAATCTGACTGATTTCTGATGGATTAGTGGTCCTGGCTAAAATGTGAAACAGAAACACCTGCTCTAGAGGAGGAGGAATATTACGTAATGAGCTCAGTGTGTCCAGCAGCCAATGGGAGCGCGCGGAGCTGTGAAAACAAAGCGCACATGGCTGCAGTAGCGGATCCATGTGAAGCCGCAGCTTCAGAACAAGTGAGCGCACGTACACGGAGCCTGGTGGGTCCAGCTGACCGTGCGACCCGCTGTTATCCTGACCCACTTCCCTAAACAGTGTTGGTCCACGTGACTAACGGACAGACATGTGCACGAGCTGTACCGGAGGACGCTTCAAGATCAGGGTCTGAACGAGTCCAGAAGACTTTACGGTCATCACCGGTTTAACACACTGCACAGCAGTACCTGCGGACCCGGAACCGAACTGGGCCAAGGCGGTTCGGTAGAGTGTTTTAATAAAGTGAAATAAGCCCAATGATTTGTTTTTCGCACCGTCGATGCGGCCCGGGCGGTGACTATAAGACATGGTCCATTAAAATCCATAATGACACGGAGAAGGCTGTCGGGTCAGCAGATGTAAATGAATACATACCTGAGTTGTTTGTGTCCATGGCAGTGGTCATTCTCTCCAGCTGCTGGCAACTCACGCACGCGCGCGCTCTTTAAAAGTCTTGTACACTTGCTGCTTGGGTCCGCGTGACAAGAAGCAGCAGCAACAGGACGAGGAAACCCCCACAAAAGGATCCAGGCTCATCCGTCACCGTTCCTTCACCAGGAACTGCTGCACGCTCATCAGACTGTTCACACACAGCAGCACCATGATGATGACGAGCAAAGCCGCCTGGAAGCACGCGGCAGAAAACGGGCCACGTGACAGGGAGCGCCTCATGCTCATGCCCCAGTGACACACTTTCCCGCCCTCCTGTAGTGAGCACGTGCATTCACTGCAGATTTTAGATTTTTTTAAATTCTGGAACATGTAAAAGATGAACTCAGTTCATATTCAACCAAATTAATCCAGTTTAATAATTATATCTCCCCCCTGCTCAAACATCAGATCAGACGATTTTAGCCTAAAGCTGGTCTCAAATAAACTGGCAAGTGTATATATATATATATATATATATATATATATATATATATATATATATATATATATTAGTGTTGGGCATAGATTAATTTTTTAAAATCTAGATTAATCTCACTGTAATCTTGGAATTAATCTAGATTAATCTAGATTAAAATGGCTCATTCAAATTCTGCCAAGGCATATGTGTGTGCTACCTAGATAATGAATAAAAGCAAGTCTTTGAGAATGGAGGCGTATTTCTTGTTTCAGTAATGCATCACAGACTGATAAAGCAGTTTTACTACAATAACTGATGATGAAAATAAATAATGATCAATAAGTATTTGTGTTTAATAGCTGTTTATTCAGTTCAACAAATTCTGCACTGTAGGTCAACAGAATAGGTCATGATTAACTATTTACAGTCAGTAGCATTTGGTCAATCAGTCCAAGCTCTATTTCTCCTTCTTCCACCAGTCACTCAAGCAGACCAGCTTGTTCACATTGTCTGGTGACAAACTGGGGCTGTGTCTCAATTCAGGGTCTGCATCCTTCGAAGGACCCAGCCCACCCGGCCGACGTGGGCTGGGTCCTCCGTCGGCCGGGTAGACCGGATGTTAACGGCTGTGAATTTGGACAGGCCTAGCCTTCATGAACTCCCTCGGCGAACGTTCCGTCGCCTAGCAACCGTGGAACCGCTGGGCAGAAGGAACTTTAAACGATGGAGCTCGACGTTTTATTTAGCTTTTTAACCCCCAGAAACCCAAATTTAGAAAACAACTGCAAAATCTTTTTTTAACCTTTCACATGTTGTTCTAGGAGGCCAGATAAACGGGCCTATTTACACATTTTAACAGCCAATAGTGTTGCAGGACTGAACAATAGGACCTATTAGCAATGTAAATGTGGTTTTAAAAAGAAAAAAAAAATGGGGAAGGTTTATTTTTGTAGACTTAAATGTGATGTTGTAATATTACAACCGTGGGTCTCTGGGGTTAATCATTTCCTTGGCTGTTGGAGAGCTAATTCAGAGAAAATACTTTAGACAAGCTGAGCCTGAGCAAATATGTGATAATAGTTTTTAATACTTTCTAAGGGTCTTAATTTGACCAAAACCGATTTATCACCTTCTAAGACTTTTCAAGACCCAGCGGATACCCTCTAGTAAACAATTCTCATTTGTAAACAAAAATAAAATTCAAGAGTTTAATGCAGAACTGATTTTATTTAGATATTTCTTTTATATGTACATGTTTAATCTTCCTTAACCATTTTTTCTAGCAAAGTAAAAAGCTGTCAAAGTTCTTCCTTCTCTCCTGAGCTCTCTGCAGCTCTTCCTCCCTCTGCAGCCTCTTGTCCTCCAAGATCAGCTCGCTGGTCATCGCTGGCACCTTCCCCTGGACGCCCATTTTCTCCAGAATAGTCTTAACAAACATGTAAGAAAAGAAACATGAAGAGAAAAGAGGACAACGGGTTATTCCTTTCATGTTTTCGCAGAAAAAATAAACTCAAACGAGTTTTTAAAATATGAGATGTTATTGTACCTCCATGCCACAGCCGCCGAATACTTTGCTCCTGTGATCATGTGGTCCATCTCCGCCCTAAGCTTAATCAATTCCCTGGTTTTCTCTTTTGTTCCTAAAATACAAACTTCTATTAAAATCAGGGGGAAAACGTAGCGGGAGAAGTACGACACCGAGCGGCCGATCATACGAGCCGAGACCGCAATACAAGCACTTTTACTGTTACATTTCTAACTAAAATAACGTTCATGTATCACAAAAAGCCCTTAACCTAACAGTTTTCAAGTTTATACTGACATTTATATGTGCAATCCTCTCCGACAGCTCCCGCTTCACTGTCGGCCATTGTTTTTAAGTTTTTCTGCCAGCCGGCCCGCAAGGCATCTTGGGAAATGCTACCTATTGAAGGATACACCCGACCCATCCTTCATTCAGGCGAAAAGAAGGCCGCATTCGTCGACCGCATTTGAAGGAGTCTTCGAATTGGGACAGGCCTAGTCGCGGCGCTGTGACGTAACCGGCCGACGAATCCGGCCGACGTAGGATGCAGACCCTGAATTGAGACACAGCCTAGATCTTCTCTTCTACAAAATATGGCCTGCTAAAGAAAAAAGTATATAGATATATATATAAACACACACACACACACACACACACACACACACACACACACACACACACACACACACACACACACACACACACATACAGACATACATAAATACACACACAGAAACGTTGGTTACGTATTGTAACCCCAGATTCTATGAGTCTAGTCGCAGCCCTTAAGCTAGCTGCTATTGGAAGGATGATCTCCGCATCAGCCAATCATGAAGAGCTAAAATGTACGCCCACCAATAGTGGGCCCCCTCGTGGTATATAACCGCAGTGACCCCACTGCTCACCTCCAATGGCTCTTATTCCCATCATAACCAGTGGGGCCAGTGGCTTAAGGGCTGCGACTAGACTCATAGAATCTGGGGTTACAATACGTAACCAACATTCTATTTCGTCTAGTCTTAGCCCTTAAGCTAGCTGCTATTGGAATAAAGCGCAGCTGGATGGGTTTACGCCCCACTGGTTAACACAACCAATGGACACACCCAATCAAATCTCCTCTAGTGGGGGACGTTCAGCCTCAGACCAGGCTTAAAGACTGAGGCAGGCACGATAAGAGAGGGGCCCCCACTAAAAAACATAATCCACAAGAGGATGAAATCCATCTCAGCAAGGCCAATGAGGTGCCATAAGCATTCATTTAGCCTGCTGGGGTCCAAGCACTGAACGAGTGATGGATCCTTAAGACACATCTCGTAAATAATAACGAGTAAAGGAACAGGGTGAAGCCCATGAAGCAGCCTGACAAATGTCTTCCATTGACACACCACTGAGGAGCGCCATCGAAGAGGAAATCCCTCTGGCTGAGTGAGCCCTGAGTGCCTCAGGGGGATCCTGCCCTGATGATGTGTAAGCGAGGGAAATGGCGTCACACAGCCAGAGTGAAAGGCGCTGGGCCGACAGCGCCTGACCAAGGGAAGACTCCCTGCAGTGCACAAACAGGTTTTGTGAGCGACGAATCCCTGAAGTGCGTGACACATATCGTGCAAGCGCGCGCACCGGGCAGAGAAGGTGAGAAGCTGCCTCCTCCTCAGAATTATGGGGAGGAGGAAAAAGTCCAGCCAATGAAATTGACCTGGATTTGAAGGAAGCATTAATGCTTTTGGGCACAAAGGCTGGGTTGGGGCATAAAACAGCAGACCCGCCATCCTCCCGGATCCTGAGGCATGCGGGAGCCACTGAGAGGGCGGTTAGGTCACTCACTCTCTTAACTGATGCTAGCGCCAGCAGCAATACAGTTTTAAGAGACAGGAACTTAAGTGAGACCTGGTCCAAGGGTTTAAATGGGGCTGCAGATAAGCCACGCAGAACCACAGTTAGATCCCATTGGGGAAAAAGCGGGTGGGACACAGGTCTGTTCCTCCTGACACCTTTTAGAAAACGTTTTGTGAGGGGATGATTGAAAACAGATCTATCACCAAAACCCTGATGACATGATGAGATAGCTGCAGCATATGTCTTAACAGTGCTGAATGCGAGGCCCCTGTCCATCAGTATCTGCAGAAACGATAGGATATCCGCCAGCTGGCAGGAGAGCGCTTGAACATTCCGTTCTGCGCACCAGTTCTGGAAAGCTGCCCATTTAGCAGCGCAAGACGCAATGGTAGAGGGCGCCCGCGCACTCTGAATCGTGGCGACCACATCATGCGGCAGCCCAGAAGCCTCTAAGCGTGACCGCTCAGCGGCCAGACCCACAGCCGTTGGCCTATTTCCGGAGGATGTTTGATTATCCCATCCGCCTGGAGAAGGGCGTCCGCCCTCCACGGGAGCCTCCACGGGGAGCCGGACACTAGCGCTTGCAGGTCCGGAAACCATGACGCGGACACGCGTCTGGGAGCCACCAGAATCACCGAGAGCTGTTCCGACTGAATTCGGTCCAGGAGACGGGGAATCAGAGGGACTGGTGGAAACGCATAAAGGAGCGTTCGAGGCCAGGGCTGGTGTGAGAAGGCGTCCGCCCCGAGCGGGGGTCCGTCCCGGGGACTCAGGGAAAACCACAGGCGACACTGAGTGTTTTCGCGAGCCGCGAACAGATCCACAGAAGGTTCCCCGAACCTGATCCAGATCTGTGATATCAGTGCAGGATGTAGACGCCAGTCGGAGTCGCGGGGTCCCCCTCTCGACAGGATGTCTGCCACTACATTCAGTACCCCCGGAATGAAGATGGCTCTGATGGACAGCAGGTGGACATGTGTCCAACACAGTAAATCTGTGGCGACATGCAACAGTGGGAGGGATCGAACTCCCCCTTGGCGATTTATGTAGGCTGCCGCCACCTGGTTGTCTGTGTGAACTTCGACATGACGGCCCTCGAGAAGGGCAGCGAAGTGTCTGATCACATTCCTCACTGTCATAAGCTCCAA